ATAAACTTTCTCTCTCTCTTTTCCAGGTGCTTGTTGCTGCACTCTGACCCATGCTGCTTCCAGCCGCACTGACTCAGGACATGGTGTGGAAAGCAGGTAGGGCTTGACATTCCCTTTCCTCACACAAAGCCAGTCCTGCTATTAGGGACAATGCAGCAGCTGCCACAGGCAGACAGCAGATGTTGGGGGGGTGCTGTTTAGGCATTGGCTGCACTGCTGTTGCTGGAGGAGCAGGAACATGCAAATGTGTAAAGTCAACAGAAGCTAAATTGGGTATCTCTCTACATATCAGTTGCATGCAAGGCTCCCCTCAGAGCAGGACGAGGTTTAGCTCCAATCCCAGCATTGTGTTGCTCGGACCTCCAATCGCTGATCAAAGATGGCTCTCTAAACTTCAGAGCAACCTCAGGCCACCCCTCTTTCCCCTCCCTCAGTGCCAGTCACAGTCATGGAAGGTGAGAGCACCTCCTGATGATGTAGTTCCTTCCCATATCCCTTTGCTGAGCTTCTCTTGTTTTGTGTCTGCTTTTGCCTGCTGTTGGAGGCGCCAGTGCAGAGTGAAGGTGAGGACCATCAGAGAACGTCTGGTGTCCGTCCTGGAGAATCTTGATGAGGATGAACTCAAGAGGTTCAAGCTCAATCTCAGCGATTCCCCCATCAGGGGTGGCTATGACAACATCCCTCGAGGGAGGCTAATGAAGGCGGATGTCCTGGACCTGAGCTTGCTGCTGCTTGGTTTCTACATGGAAGATGCTGTGCAGGTGGCGGCTGAGGTGCTCAGAGCCATCAACTGCAGGCCCGAGGCAGAGAGGCTCATCTCCCTCTCTGAGACTGAGTAAGAAAGAAGGAATTCCAGCTCACAGAACTTGCTAGGATGGAAGGCAAATGGAGGTCAGGTTAAGCTGGCTGGGGGTGATGGAACTTGTAGACCGGGGGTCGGCAACCTGCGGCTCCAGAGCTGCATGCAGCTCTTTAAAGCCTTTGCTGCGGCTCCGGGGCGGAGGCGCGGGGCGGGCGCGAGGGAAGGAGGCAAGGGGAGGGCGCGAGGGAAGGAGGCGAGGGGCGGGGGCGAGGGGAGGGCGCGAGGGAAGGAGCGAGGGGCGGGGGCGAAGGGAGGGCGCGAGGGGAGGGCGCGAGGGAAGGAGGCGAGGGGCGGGGGCGAGGGGAGGGCGCGAGGGAAGGAGGCGAGGGGCGGGCGCGAGGGGCGGGCGCGAGGGGAGGTGGAGGAGTTAGTTGCCTGAAGCCACTGTTCAAAACTACTCACTGTTTTGAAGGGGAGTGAAGAACACACACTCAAAAAAAGGTAACTTGTTAATTTAATGTTTATTATGTTTACTGATTTGTGCTTTGTGACTGTTTGAGGTGGGTTTTTTTCCTTGGGAGGCTGGGCGGCGCGAAGAGAGGGAGGCTTGTGGTAGCGTCGGGGCTTGTCTCTAGCAAAGTAAGTCCTCGCTATTTGGTCACATGCGCAGTGGCTTCGGAGCTCCAACACTTGCTTTGCCGGCTGCTTTCAAAAGCGTCGGAATCAGCTGTGCTGTTGCTGGGTAACCTGATCGTCCCAGCAGCCATCTTATCTGCCCATGTGGTCTTCTGAGGCGGCCGCCATCTTACTATAGGAAATTCCACGTGGGAGTTAGTTGCCTGAAGCCCCTTTTTAAACTTAAGCAGGGGGAAGTTTGGTGAATTGTTTTCCTTAACGTTATGCAACAGCTTATTGCTGGTCTTTGTCGTCCCGCCTTTGTAAGCAGGCTGCATTGAAAGGGGGCATATACACTGGTCACTGTTTTGAAGGGGAGTGAAGAACACACACTCAAAAAAAGGAAACTTGTTAATTTAATGTTTATTTATATGAGGAGGAGTAATTCTGAGGGGTCAAACAAAGAAATAATAAAAAGTGTCAAAAAAGGTATTTTTATAATGACGAATGCCTCATTATTATATATTATTTACATCAGGCACTGATTATGATTTATGGTACACTGGGGCCCTGATTAATTTTCGATGGCATTTTGGGGCATTGGTTATTGGGCATAGCAAGTTGCGGTCGCGTGGAATTTGTGCTTTGTGACCGTTTGAAGTGGGTTTTTTTTCTTGGGAGGCTGGGCGGCGCGAAGAGAGGGATTATTTTTATAATGACGAGGATAACATTGGGCCCTCATTATTAATTATTATTTACATCAGGCACAGATTATGATTTATGGTTCACTGGGGCCCTGGTTAATTTTCTTTGGCATTTTGTGGCATTGATTATGCAGACGCGTGGAATTCCCCGTGGAGTTAGTTGCCTGAAGCCCCTTTTTAGTAGCTTGAAGCCCCTTTTTAAACTTAAGCAGGGGAAAGTTTGGTGAAAGTTTGGTGAAAGTTTGGTGAATTGCTGCCAAGGAGTGTGGTGGAGTCTCCTTCTTTGGAGGTCTTTAAGCAGAGGCTTGACAACCATATCTCAGGAGTGCTCTGATGGTGTTTCCTGCTTGGCAGGGGGTTGGACTCGATGGCCCTTGTGGTCTCTTCCACATATGTATGTGAGCAGGTCTTCTCCAACATGAACTATATTAAAAACAAACACCAATCACGCCTCACAGATGACAGCTTGCAAGCCTGTGTGAAAATGAAGGTGACGTCTTACAGCCCTGATGTGCAGACACTGAGCACTGAGGTTCAGGAGCAAAAGTCCCATTAACCTGGTTACCTGGTTGTAAATTAAATATTTTAATTAGCTATTAATTTGTCCTTTTTTCTTGAGATTGACAGCTGACTGCACGATCCTGTATATATAGCATTAAGGCAAGAAACAATATATGCAGTGTTATATTTGTTTTAAATGTTGCAATGTTTTTGCGGCTCCCAGTTGTTGTTGTTTTTTCGGAAACGGGTCCAAGTGGCTCTTTTTGTCTTAAAGGTTGCAGACCCCTGTTGTAGACCAACAACATCTGGGGGCCCAAAGTTGAAGATCATTCTCTAGAGCAGGAGCAGGTAACCGTTGAAGCTGCAGAAGTTGTTGAACCAACTCCCATCAGCCCCAGCCAGCTTGGCCAATGGAGCCCAGGATGGTGGGAGTTGTAGTTCAGCAACATTTGGAGGGCCAAAGGTTTCCCACACTTTAGAAATTTGGGGGCTTCTTTTCTCTTCATTTCCTGACAGTATTTAATTGCTTCACACATGTACTCGATGATCCCTTTTTTCCTTCCTCCAGGAAGTAGTTCATGCTGAAACCTGTGCCTTAGAACTTAAGAAGAGTTTGCTGGATCAGGCCAGCATCCTGTTCTCACCGCTGCCAACCAGATGGCTGTGGGAAACCTGCAAGTGCAACAACTCGCTCCCTTTCTGTGGCTTCCAGCAACTGGTATTCAGAAGCATTTCTGCCTCTGACTGAGGAGGGAGAGCGCAGCCATCATGGCAAGGGGCCGTGTCTTCCATGTTGTCCAGTAACTTTTTTGAAACCACCCAAGTTGGTGAGCAGCACTGACTCATGTGGAAGTGAGTTCCATAGTCTAACTCTGCGCTGTGTGAAGGACTTCTATCTGTCCTGCGTCTTCCAACCTCCAACCTCATTGGATGCTCACTGGTTCTAGCATTCCAAGAAAGGGATAAAAACATTTCCCTGTCCACTTTCCTCACACCCTGAATAGTGTTATAAACTTCTATCATGTCCTCTCTTACTTTTTCTCTAAACAGTCTGAAACCCTGCAGCCGCTCTCATATGGGAGTTGCTGCATCCCCTCAATCATTTTGCTTGCCCTTTTCTGAACATTTCCCAACTCTACAATGTCCTTTTTGCAGTGTGGAACCAGAACTGTACACAGTATTCCAAATGTGGTTGGCCATGGATTTGCAAAATGGTATGATATTCACTGTTTTAAGTTCAGCTCCTTTCCTAATGATCCCCAGCATGGAATTGGACTTTTTCACAGCTGCCGCACGCTAGATCCACCTCTTCATCATGCTATCCACTGTGAATTTTAGCCCATTCTTAAGAATTCTCCCACAAAATCCCTAGCCTTTCCCAACAGAGCTTCAATTTCCAGACCTCCAGGGAAATACCAATGAGCCACACAAAGCAGTTCCTGTATTTCCCCCTTTATTCCCTCATAAAAGATAAGACACGACACAGTCTTCTATAAAAGTATAAAAAGAGTTTACTCACATTCTGTTCACAATTGGATCCCAGAAGGCAAACTTAGTTTTCAGGTGTATGCTATTTTTCAAAGCTAACTCATAAGGAGACAGTGCCTTTGTCCTCTCTTGGCTGGAGGCCAAGAGAGCATCTTTGGCTAAGCAGATGTTGCTTCTTCAACTAAAGTAGTCAGAGAGAGAGAGACGGCTGCCCTGCCCTGTGCTATTGTTGTTACCTGCAAGGGTGAGGCCACACCACCTCTAGTCACATGCAGAGGAAGTTTACCCACTGGCTGGACAAACATTCCTCCCCATGTGTAAACGTTCACTCTAGGAATGTTGTACTTAACTGCTCTTGTGTTTGACATGCCACAGCAGAGCTGTCTCATTCACTAAGCACAGTGCCTCTGGTGAGCAAAGTCCCTCCTGAGGCTGCAGTTCAGTGCATGTTCCTTTCCTGACAGGACTTTTTCTCTTGCTGGGAGATGTACATCTTGGGAGGAGGAGCAGGTTTCAATCCCAGGAGATGAACAGAATCCCAGGAGATGAAGCCAGAGAGAGCCAGCCTGTCCTTCTCCGAACTTCCTGGGTGGTGGTGACTCCAAGTTGGTTTGCCTTAGGGCTTCCTAACATTTCTCCTTTCCAGTTTGTACATTGTAAATAAAAGTACTTTGTAATAAAGATATTTTACCAATAACATTCTGTCCTTTTCATTAAGCCTGCATAAGCTTCCAATATTCTTTCATCCAAAGGAAACTGGTCCAAGAAGTCTCTCTCAATTTTTGGTACACTTCATCATGGGAATTTGGTTATTTGAAAGAAATGAGAGGAATAGTCTGGGATGCACAGAAGTCCACCCAAGATTTCTGGGCACCTGCGCTAGATATCAAAGAAAGCCCTCCTCTAACCAGCTCCCTACAGATCCAGATAATTTGATCAGGACCGACCTACCAGAGAACTTGGGGGAGTTCTCCTTCCTATCCCTAGTCCAATCCACTTCCCGGAGCCTGTGCCTGGTCGCTGCAGTTCAGGGGAGCCAACTAGAATGAAAAATGGGGGCAGGTGCGGGTATCACATAATCACAAGATCGCACCCTTTGAATGGCAATGACCGTCAACCTCGGAGGTGGACCTGGCCCCCTCAAATAGTTTAGGAGGGGCAAAGGGCCCTGGCTCCTATGCTGCAGTTAATCCCATTGAAGATCTGGGCGGTCAGGTGTGGGGCGTCTTTCTTCGTGTAGTAGCGAAGCCGGAGCAGGCTCACGTGTCTGGCATCCGCTCCTTCAGCGTACTTGAACTTCTGCAGCTCGTCTTTCTCCAGGTTCTCGAGGGTGTCCTTCAGGCACCGGCGTGTGGACGTAGCCAGGACTTTTTTTGGGGGGGGGTAGACCTTTGTTAGGGGGCAGAACCGACGTGATTGTTCAGTTAGTCCTTTCTATTGTTTTACTTCATCTAGGCCCCGCTGCCCTCACCCCCGGTTGCGCCCCCCCTGCACCGGCGGACGGTCTTCGGGATCCCGCAGCCAGAAGGTGGGCAGGCACTTTGGGTTCTCCGAGGAAGAGGCGGCGACCAAGGGCTTCCCTTCCGCGCTGAGAAAGAGGCGCGCTCCACCCTCTTTCTTTGCTCACCTGGCGGTTCCGTTTCTGCCTTTCTGGGTCCTGCGGTTCAGCAAGGGCGGATGTGCGCCTTTTGGCAGCGGGGGGAGAGAGGAGATGCTGGTGGCGATTAGGTTGAGCCAAACCTGGAAGGAAGCGGCGTGTTTTCATTCCCCCCGCCAGCCAGCCAGCCTTCTGGGAGCGCCGGGAAGGCCCTTCCCACGTTCTCGCCTTCCCAGGTCCAGCACTGATTCTCTGCTCCGAGGGAGGGAACCTCGGGAGGGAACCTCGGGAGTCTCCGCCCCAATGAACTCTGCCCCCGCCAAGCGCCGCGGAGGAGCCGCTTCCCCGAGGGCGTCGCCCGCTTCCTTCTTCCTCCTTCGGACGCTGCGTCCTCTCCGGCTCTGCCGCCGGGCGAGACTTTCCTCTAGGCAGGGGCGCCATGACGACCCCCGAAGACCCCTGGGCGAAGGAGCCCCTGGAGGAAGGAGGCGAGAAGCTGAAGGCGAAAGAGGCCGGCAGGTCCACCGAGAAGAAGGGGGGGAGGGAGGAAGGGGAGAGGGAGGAGGACCCCCTCCTCAAGTTCCAGTGGCCCCGATGGCTCAAGGGCGGTGGGCGCCAGAAGGAGCCCCTGGAGGAAGGCGAGAAGCTGAAGACGGAGGAGGCCGGCAGGACCACCGAGAAGAAGGGGGGCAAGGAGGAGAGGGTGAGGGAGGTGGGTTACCGCCTCATGTTCCAGAGGTTCCTATGGCTCGTGGGTGGTGGGCGGCCGAAGGAGCCCCTGGAGGAAGAAGGCGAGATGTTTAAGGTGAAAGAGACCGGCAAGTTCACCGAGAAGAAGGGGGAGAGGGAGGTGGATTCCCTCCTCAAGTTCCAGGGGTCCCAATGGCTCGAGGGTGGTGGACGTCAGAGTAGCAGCAGCAGCAGCGACGACGACGATGACTGGGACCTCAACACGTCGGGATTGCCGCACTCGTTCGCCCAGCAGTTTCACTTTGAGGATCAGAATCTTTTTCTTGCTCTGTTCTGTATCGCTCGCTTCCTGCAATTCTCCCTGCGGCGTTTGATTCCAGAAGAGCGGCGGAGGTTCCGGCGCAAACTGCGCGAGATCCCGCTCGAGGAGGGCTTCCTCCGCATCCCTGATGTGGCGCTGCACAAGGCAGGCGCCCCTCACCTCCGAGACCTGCTGCTCAGCTACTACGGCGGAGTTTACGCCATTGAGGTGGCGGCCAAAGTACTGAGCACCCTGGGCCGGAAGCTAGAGGTGGACAAGCTCCTCTTCTCGGTCAGGGAAGGTAAGGCTTTGCTGGATCCTGACCTTCGCAACCGTTCAGTCTGACAACAGATCTTTCCTTCCCTGGTTGCGCCAGCCCAGCGCTGAGCTGCAGCCGCGAAGAAGGGAAGGAAAAACAACCATGGGCTTGGAATGTTTGGAAATACCTTTACTTTAGCGCCAGGCATTTAGCGCATATGGAAGAATATGGTATGTTTCAACCGTCTGATTGCTATTGCTTAAAATATTAGAAATACCTTCAGGGCCCTTAGGACACACAGAACAGCAAAGAATCAGCCTTAAGCAAAAGGGCTGGCTGTTCTTTGGACACACAGTTAAGTTTGTCCCTTTGTAGAAGGGAAAGTCCTTTTTCTTTCCTGCTTGAGCCCTGCAAAAATTTTTTAATCAGGCCTGCAAGTTCAGAAAGTTTGCAGGCCATCCTAACATCTCTGGAACAGAGGAAGGTCCCAAATGGGCCTCAGGATCCATCTAGCTCAGGATTGCTAATATTGCCTGACTGCGGCTCTCCCGGGTTTCAGGCAGGAGTCTTTTGCAGCCCTACCTGGAGACACCAGGGATTGAACCTGGGACCTTCTGCCTGCAAAGCAGGTGTTCTGCCACTGAGCCATGGCTCTTCCAGAAGTGCTTCCTGCTGAATGTCCTGCAAATAGCTTTCTCCAGGAAGAGAAGGAGGAATTCTCATGCTTTACGATGGTATAAGGAGGTTCCCTGAATTTTCTATTCAGTACTGCCACTACAGCACAGTCTCCAAATGGCTGTCTGCTGAACATGCTGCATGCCCATTATTAGAGGATGACATCAGATGATTATTATAAATAAGGAAAAGGGTTTCCACCCCACAATAAACTTTTGGTTAACCTTCCTTCAGATCAGCCCAATTCTGTACATGGAAAATAATTCAGGAGCTCAAGAAAGGTTTAATCAGAAAGCTCTTTAAGAGCAATGTATGTGCTTAAATAATTGACAGAAGCTACAATTTTAGTGATGTTTTCTCCATAAAAACTTATTCCAGGGCAGGGTGTACTGCCCATAGGGGCGGGGCACACCACGGGGCCTCCAGATTCTGCCTGCCTCCTCCTACTCAGCCGCTCTACAGCTGGGGGACAGGCAGTAGGTGGACCGTTTGGGCAGGAAAGACATGTGGCTTGGGCGTGCTGCAGGCCCCGCGGTGAGTGCTGCCTGGCATTTTGTCACTCCCTTCAGTGGTGACACTTGGGGTGGACCACGCCTGCCGCACCCCCCTTCCTCTGCCACTGCAATTATCACATGTACAACCCCCCCCCCATTTTTTCCCCCCATCCAGGGACTGCTTACCATTTTTCTTCTGGAGAAACCCCCCCAACCTTTGGCATAATATGCCCCAGAATTGCATTCAATTTTGCCTCTGGCATTTATTACCCAGGCAATATTTGCAGGTTGGGGTAGTAAAAGATTCCATCTTTTTTTTCCATAGACAAATGGTCAGTGAAAGATCATGGAAATATCAGTAGTTTACATTTCTGTAACCAAGGGCATTTTCTTTTTCTTTTATTCCAATAGTCCAATTATAATAATAAGCCCAATAAGTTTCTATACAGTGGAACCTCAGTTGGCAAACGCTTCAGAAGTTTCAGCTTTCAAACGCCGACAACCCGGAAGTGAATGCTTCTGTTTTTAAACATGTCTCGGAAGTCGAACGGCTTCTGAGGCGTGTTTCTCCATTTTTTCAATGGATTTTGCCAACCGGCAATTGCGCCTCGGTTGTCGGACATTTCGGAAGACAAACGATCTTCGGGAACGGATTATGTTCGACAACCGAGGTTCCACTGTATTACATTGCTGACCATACTTTACAGTCCACCATTTAATCTTAGATGAATGTTCTTCTCAATTTTGGGGTTGCAACCGCCTATCTAGAAATATTGCCTGTCACGAACGAATCAGAGCCAGACAACAAATATATTCTCTTCACATGACCATCCACTTCAGGCAACTTACACAATAGTTCACAAATGTACGTAGCTCTTGGTTCAGAGCACATAGGGCAGTATACTACATAGTGGTATAGGTCTATTGCTTGGATGCTACATATACAATGTCGCTTTTCTGCCAGAATTTTCCTGTAGCCGCCCTCTAAATACTCTGAGGGCATAGTCTGAAAATGCAGAGCCATGAATGAATGCTTTCCTAAGTGAGCAGAATGGTAAATCATATAGATAGTTCTCAAAACCATGTTTAATTAAATACAACTGTGTGGAGAATAATGATTTATGGATTGTTTGTATAACTTTTTGCACGTAAAAAACCTTCAGATTTGTTTCAAGGAACAGTTTTAAAGAGCTTTTTAAAAGGGAATTATATCAGGTGCTATCATTTGCTGTTCACAGTTTGACTCCTAAGAAATATTTCATTGTATTTTTTGTTGTTCCACAAAATGTCTTCCATATTACAGAGTTTAAACTAATACCTAAATAAGACCATAGGAATTTGACACTGTACTTGCATAGTTCCTGTTTCTGCTCCGATACTAGCTGCTGGAGTTGGGGGTGGGTAAACCGAGTAGTCTTCTTAGAAATTAATTTCTCCCCAATACGTTAACTGTGGAAGCACCTAACCATTATATGTTCTCAGTGCAGGGCAATCATATTGCTGCCTTTGCTTCTGGTAAAACTAAGAATTGCTTGTGCAGATCTTGATGTCTTCAAGGCCTAAGTGCTGCTATATGGTGTGACCAAATACTCCTATCGGAGAACAAATCTCCAAATAATTGAAATGTCTCACTTGTTCAATTATTTGTCTATTTAGGAACCATTTATGCTTCACAGGCTGTGCCTCAAATACTACAGCTTTTGTCTTGGAATAATTTATATTCAAACCTTTGTTAGGACAAACTATCCCAAAGTTCTTTAGTAATCGCCTCATACCCACGTGTTTGTGTTCATAGCACCATATTGCCGGCATATAGCAAGATGGATACCTTATGAGATAAAGCTGTAACAGGAAAAAATTCTGGTTGTTTTAGTTCTAGTTATTACATCATTTACATAAATGTTAAACAGCAGAGGTGCCGATAAGCACGCTTGTCCTACTCCATTTGTTGTTAGAGCTAGAGCTGTCAAGTGTCAATTGACCATTCGCCCCTACTCTTTCTCTTATATACATTTCACGGTGTGATATCCATACCGTTTGGAATACCCTTTGGAATTCCAAAGGGCTAGAGTCACACATACATCAATAGTCAAAGGGAAAAGTGCTTACCCAGCAAGAAATGCACTGGTGCTAATTAAATATAGCAAAAGACTGCTGGGGGGGGATGAAACAGCCAGTTTTGACCTCTCCCTTACCTGTCCACAGAGTACAGTGCTATGTCCCATGGTATGCAGAGGAATGTACGAAAGAACATTGTGTGGTAAGTCCCATTGCAATTCTACTTGCAGCTTACAGTGGACGAGCATTGATTGGATGGTGTGAGAATCTGATCTTAGCTTGGGAGGGAGCTTCATCCAGGAACCAGGATGGGCAAATGTGTCACTGGAATGGACAGTGCTAAGGGATTTAGTGATAAGTATCACTTCCTAGGAAACGGGGTTGCTAGGTGATGTTGGTGTACTAGTAAAGAGACACAAGTAGTTCAGTGGTCCTCAGGAACCTGATGAATGGGGGAATGGGAGAAGCAGCCTTGGAGAAAGGCTTGTGTGAGTCCAGAGGGCAACTTCTCAGCCATTTTTATGACTTCAAGCTTCTGCTTATTATTATGGAGCATGGTTTGCATGCAGACATTTTGGTGCCTGAGGCAAAACAAATTGGTTCTCCCCCAGGAATTGTAGTTTGCTAAGGGACTCTCTCTCTTTCTCTTTCTACACACACACACACACACACACACACACACAAAAGGTGACCTGAGAGCCACCAAAGATGCAGGAGCCATTGTGACTGAAGGAGGGAGCTGAGGAGAGAGAGGACCCTGGCTTAGCAGCATCCTTCCTAGATCAGCTTCTCCTCTCATGGAGGAGGAAAAAGAAATGGGAAATCTCATGCAGTTAAGAGGGGTCTTTAACCAGGGGTGGAAATCTTTTTCCACAATGCATGTTATGTACACACATGCACACACAACCCCCCTTTTTGTTTTTGTTTTTCAAATGCTTTTTATTGAGATTTAAGAACACCAACCAACAAAAACATCAAATCTTATTACATATTACATATATCCTACTTTATGCTCCATAGAGCCGTTAACTTCCATCCTTCCCTTCCGCAAGTTTTCTTATTCCAATCTATAATTCACAGTTTCATTGGTTAAAAATTACTCTGTGACGTAAGATTTAATTCAATCCTGCCAAAGTTTTCATATTTCTGCAGTTCTCACTTATATAAACCATAAAATTACTCCATTATTTTTGGTACTTCGTCTCCTCCTGACTGCGAATTCTGTGTGTCAATTTTGCCATTTCAGTGTATTCCACCAGCTTTATCTGCCATTCCCTTACAGTCGGAATCTCCTGTAACTTCCACTTTTGGGCCATCAAAACTCTAGCTGCTATTGTTGCATACAGATATAATCTTTGGTCTGTCTTCTTAATATCTTCTCCCACCAAACCTAGCAGAAATTCTTCCGGCTTTTTTGGAAAAGTATATTTAAACATATTTTTAAACTCATTATAGATCAATTCCCAAAACACTTTTATTTTATTACATGACCACCACATGTGGTGAAAATCGCCATCCTTTTCTTTGCATTTCCAACAAGTTTTGCGACTTGTCCTATACATTTTTGCCAGCTTGGTGGGAGTGAGATACCAACGATAGACCATTTTCATAACATTCTCTTTTAAAGCAGAGCATGCAGTGAATTTTAGAGTCTCGTTCCAAAGTTTAGCCCATGCATCATAGTCTATGTTGTGTCCCAAGTCAATAGCCCATTTTGTCATGGCTTCTTTTATGAATTCATCTTTTGTGTTCCATTCTAATAAAAGATTGTACATTTTCGAGAGTGGTTTGAGCTTACTGTCTATAATATCTGTTTGGAATTTCGATTTCTTATCTTCAAATCTTAATTTTTTATTGTCTTTAAGAACATCATTGACCTGATGGTATTGCAACCATCCTGTCAATTTTTGTGCAATTCAATTGTAGGGCTTCAATTTCCAACCTTTCTCAGATTTCATCAGAATCTCCTCGTATTTGGCCCGTCTCCCTTCCATGTTCAGTTTTTTAACCGTTAACATATCGATTGGTGACACCCACCACGGTGTTTTCCTTTCCAGCAAGTTCTTATTTCTGTCTCAGACTTCAAAAAGAGCACCCCTTATCACATGGTTTGTAAACCCTCCATGCACTTTTGCTTTCCCATACCAGAGGTAAGAGTGCCACCCATATCTATTGTTGTGTCCCTCCAAATCTAACAAGTCTGGGTTTTCCAGAGTTATCCAATCCTTTATCCAGCATAAACAAGCTGCTTCAAAATAAAGTTTCAAGTCAGGTTCAGCGAACCCCCCTCTTTCCTTCCTGTCCGTCAATATTATTAAATTCTTGGTCTTCTCCCTTGCCATACGAAGCGCAAGAGAGTCTTTTGCCATTCTTTGAATTGTCTTAGACCTCTAATTATCAGGATTGTTTCGAACAAAAATAACATTTTCGGAAGTAAATTCATTTTAATTGCTGACATTCTTCCACTCATTGACAGCTTTAATTTATCCCATATTTCTAAATCTCTTTTAATCTCCTTCAACACTGGTTGATAATTATCATTAAATAGATTTATATTCTTTGCCGTCATCCAAATTCCCAAATATTTTACTTTTTTGACCACCTTAATTTTACTTTCTTGTTCCAACCTTTCTACCTTGCTCCTTTCCAAATTTTTGCCCAACATTTTCGTCTTTTTCTTATTCAATTTAAATTCTGCCAGTTGTCCAAATTTTCCCATTTCCTCCAATGCTATGTTGACACTTTCTTGGGGTTCTTCTAAAGTTAATACCAGATCATCCACGTAGGCCTTAAGTTTAAACTCCTTGGCACCTATTTTGACCCCTTTTATCTCTGATGTTCCTCTCAGGCAATTTACTAATACTTCCAACACTATAATAAACAGTAGCGGAGACAGTGGGCACCCTTGTCTGGTACCCTTTGTAATATCAAATGAATCTGTCAAGGTGTTATTCACAATTAATTTCGCTTTCTGCTCCGAGTAAATTGCCTCAATTCCTCTTAAGAAGGTGTCACAAATCCCCATCTTCTCCATACTCTTCTTCATAAATGACCAAGATACATTATCAAATGCTTTTTCAGCATCAATGAACATTAGTACGGCTGGCTTATCATTTCTTACCTCCAGGTATTCCAATATATTAATGATATGTCTCACATTATCTTTTAATTGCCTGCCTGGTAGGAAACCTCCTTGGTCTTTATGAATTAATTCATTTAGTATTGTCTTCAATCTGTTAGCCATAATATCCACAAAAAGTTTATAATCATTGTTTAACAATGATATTGGTCTAAAGTTTTTAACACTCTGATGGTCTGTGTCTTGTTTGGGGATCAACGTTATATATGCCTCCTTCCAGGAGTTCGGTATTTTTCCTTTTCCTTGTAAAATAGCATTCATTACTTCCCCTAGTACCGGTATCAGCTATTCGCTAAGTGATTTGTAATACTTAGCGGTGAGCCCATCCGGTCCTGGGGCTTTGCCTTGTTTCATCTTCTTTATTGACCTTTGGATTTCCTGGTTTGTTATTGGGGCATTTAAATGTTCTCTTTCTTCTGGTGAAATCTGTTTTCCTTTATGTATTTCCAAGTATCTTTCTATCTTTTTTATATCTTCTTTTTCTTTCCTGTAAAGCTCCTTGTAAAATCCTTGAAAGGCTCTTATTTCTTTTGGGTCTTCCGTCAGCTGTTCCCCTATCCTGATTTTGTTGATTATGTTTTGACTTTGACGCTTTCTTAGCTGCCAAGCCAATAGCTTCCCAGTTTTGTTTGCTGATTCGAAATATTTCTGTCTCATTAATTTTAATTTCCATTCCACTTCTTGGTTCACCTGCATGGAATACTGAGTTTGTAGCATTTTAATAATCTGCTTAGTTTGTTCATCTTTTGGTTTTATTACCAGTTTTTTCTCATTTTCCATGAGTTGAGTCAAAATTTCCTTTTTTTCCTTTCTCTTTCTTTTTTTTTATGGCTGTTTTGCTGAATTAGGAAGCCTCTCATGACCGCTTTACTCGCGTCCCACACAGTTTCCAAACTAGTTTCTCTATGTAAGTTCCAGTCAAAATATTCCTTTATTGTCTCTTTCGCTTTCTCTACTATTTTTGGGTTCTCAAACAATGTATCATTCATCCTCCATCTAAAAGAGGATTGTTCTTTACCTTTTAATTCCAAATAGATTGAGTTATGATCAGATAGAGTTTGTGGGGTAATCTCAATTTTGTTTTCTCTAGAGACTAATTCTTTAGATACCCAAACATAATCTATCCGGCTTGAGCTTTGGTGGGGCTCCGAGAAAAAAGTGAACTGTTTTGTAATTGGGTATTTCCACCTCCAAATATCTATTAAACCAAAATTTTCAACCAATTCAAAGAAAGTCTTAGGGAGTTTACCCTCATTTATACTTTTTTTCTTTGGCATTCTGTCCATTTCTGGCATTACCACTCCATTACAGTCTCCCATCAGAATTATTTTTCTGATCCATAAATTCTATCAGTCTTTCCTCTAGTCTTTTAAAAAAGTCCGCTTTATTTCCATTAGGGGCATATATTCCCACAAGGATTATCTTCTCACCCTGTAATGTTATTGAACCACAATCACTCTCCCCTCCTCATCTTTAGAGATCAATTTAGGATCTAATCTCTCCTTTATATATAGCACCACCCCTCTTTTTTTGTTAACATCGGAAGTTACAAACTCTCTACCCAGTCTTTTATTAATCAAAATATGTCTATGTTTTTTAGCAACGTGAGTTTTCTGTAAACAGATTACATCAGCATTCTTTTTTTCCCAAAACATGTTCAACTTTATTTCGTTTAGATTTGTCATTAAACCCATGAATATTCCAAGTTATCAATTTCAACGTCATTTCCTTAATAATTTTGTTACAGAGAGAAAAAGTTAAATTCGGGTGGTTTTATTAGTGTCCTCTTCTTCTTCCTCCTCTTCCTCTTCCTCTTCCTCTTCTTCTGCTTCTCCTCCCTCTCCTTCTTCCTCATCTACTTTCTTTCTTTCTTTCTTTTTATTCTTTTTGTTTTCCTCTTCGCTGTAGGGGTCTGCTCCGGTGGGTCTGGGCCCAGCAAGGCTTCCTTCCATCTTACCTAATTCTTTCTCATATCTTCTAGAAAATTTCTTTACCTCTTGTAGGTCTGTTAATCTAAATCTTTTACAGTGGTGCCCCGCGAGACGAATGCCTCGCAAGACGGAAAACCCGCAAGACGAAAGGGTTTTCCGTTTGCGAGTTGCTTCGCAAGACGAATTTCCCTATGGGCTTGCTTCGCAAGAAGAAAGAGGTCCTGGACCTCTTCTGAAGACCGGCGGGGGGCAAAAGTCTTTGCTCCCCCCTGCCTGCCTTCCCAGGGGCTTTTAAATCGCCCCGGACAGCGGAGAAGTCCTCCGCTGTCCCGGGGCGATTTTAAAATGCCGCCCGCCAGCATTTTAAGATCGCCCCGGACAGCAGAGAAGTCTTCCGCTGTCCCGGGGTTTTTAAAAATGCTGGGGGTGGGAAGAAAAGCCCTTGTCCCCCCCCCCAGCCTTCAGAAGAGGTCGGGGGACAGACTGTCCCCGGACCTGGTCTGAAGGCGGTTTCCCTAGGAACGCATTAATTGATTTTCAATGCATTCCTATGGGAAACCGTGCTTCGCAAGACGAAAAACTCGCAAGAAGAAAAAACTTGCGGAACGAATTAATTTCGTCTTGCGAGGCACCACTGTATCTTTGTAGTAAAAAGAGATTCCTTCAGGGAACTCCCACCTATGTTGGATTCCATTTTTCTTCAGTAAAGTCAACAATTGTTTGTACCCATCTCTTCCTCGTAGAAATCTAACAGGAACCTCTTTAAATATAATAATTGGTCTTCCATCGATTAATAACTTGTTATTGTAACTCATTCTCAAAATTGCATTTCTCATCTCTAATGAATTAAAAATCATCAGACAATCTCCAGGTAGTTTTTTGGTTTTAGCTTTTACTGATCTCACCTTAATTCTAAACACATTCTCAATTGTATACTCAATTTCTTCTTCCTTCATATCCATCCATCTTGCCAATTCTTTGATCATTTTTGTTTTAATATCTTCATTTGCTTCTTCTACTACCCCTCTAAATTTTAATTTTTTCTGTTTCTGCCTCATCTCCATCAGAGCCATGTTTTCCCAGGTCTGTTCTTGTACTTTACTAACCTCTACCAGTTCCTCTTTAATTCTATCTGCCTCTTTTCTATTTTCCTTAACTTCCTTCTGAGTTTGTTTTGCTAGCTCTTCTGTTGTTTTAGATCTAACCGTTAAGTCTTTGATTTTACTTGACAAGTCCCCCACCACTCCCTCTATTTTCTTATTCAGGGTTTCTTGCACTTCTGCCAATTTTTTCTCCATGTGTTGTTCATTTTGTTTAAATTCTTCCTTTATTTTTAGCCAAAGGATGACCAAATCCTTAATTTCTTTCTGTTTTGACTGTCTTCGGTCACCTGGGGTTCCTCCATTTTTTTCCCATTTTCCCCTGACATTTTTAAACAGATAACTCAATGTTATATACTTTCACCACTAGGGGGAGCAGTTACACCAGAGAGCTAGAAATTGTATTTGTCACTAATTATAGTTTAAACAACAATGGCCCCTAGGGGTCCTTCTCTTCACAGTGACTTTTAGTTCTTGTCTTAACCACACACTTCAAAATTCACCCCTTTAAACATATATCAACTGTATATCAAATATTTTTTCAAACTGTATATCAAATATTATTTCAAAGAAAAGGAAAAGGAGAAAAACAGGAAATGGCACACATCAGAAATATATAGACATTGTCCCAGATGATATCACAATTTAAATGTCCCCTTCTACACTTTGATCATTTATCAACTCAGTCCTAAATGTTTATTCCAGCATGGATTGACCATCTCAGATACTGTTTCAGTTTTAGGATCCTCTTCTGTCCTTTCTATCCTCTTCTTTTCTTCCGCCTCTTGTGGGCTCAATCCAACATATGAGTCCAAATAAAAATCCATACAAGTCCATATAAATCCATATAAATCCATATAAATCCAAATATAACTGTAATCCAATCAGGGAGCCAGAATGTTAATTTTCTAGCCACTTGAAGGCTTAATCCTCACAGTGTTTAAATATAGGAAGATTTTCCCCAGTTAATCTTTCTTCCTCCCTTCGTACTCCAATGGGGATATGAGAATAATCACAGTTTATTTTCAAGCCTCTTCTATATCCATTTAGTCAAAGGGAAGTAGAAAAACATAGGTATTCCTGCAGCACTTTAAAACTCTAGCTGCTCCACTTTCCTTTGTCAGTCCCTTCCGATGTTGCCAACTTCTTCCCCTTTGCTTTATACAAAGATTTATACAAAGTATCTAAATCTCTGAGCTGAGGTTCAAAATGCTACTGTTTCTCCAGCCAAGTCACCAAGTCTTCTCAAAAGAAGAGGAGAAACAAAGTTCCTTTTAAGCTCTTATCCGTCTTCCAGCGTTGTAAAATGATACTTGCCTCAGAACGCTGCCTCTGAGAACTTTCAGCTTACACTTGCTCAGCAGGAAACTTTCACTTCCGTATTGTTCTCATGTCTTTGTTCTCTGCGCCATCTTAACACCGCGGCTGGGACGGACTCCATTTTTATGTCCCTCAGCTGACCAAATTCCTTGAATTCCTTCCATTAGTCAGATTTCAAATGTATCTTGTTTCTGGGAATTCAGTTTCCTCGTGGAAGTTTAACACTCTTCATCAGAAGCCTGAGACTGCACAGCGCAAGGTAGGTGCTTCCCTTTTGTGCCCACAGCTCTATCCCGTCCTCGGATTCTTACTTAAAAACCCGAGAAGCAGGAGAGCACTTCTGGGCGCCGCTGGGTGCTCCGCCCCCCAAGGTATCCCCCTTGAGGTTTTGAGGTCTGTAGAGCCCTTACAGACCTCTAAAAAAACCCCACACTTACCAGAGCGGTCATTCTGCGCTTCTCTTTTGATGTCCGTGCTAAACCCCCCTTTTGAAATTCGGCACCTAAATATATACAGAATCCAGATCTGTGGGTGGGGGGCTCTGGAAGATGGGCAGTCAAGCTAATGAGTCGCTTTGAAGCCTCTTGTTAACTTGGTAGATAAGCAAGCCAAATTTTCTTTCTGCTAGAAAGATTGCCCCATTATCCTGCCAGTATATTTCTGAAATCTATTCTTTACAGCTTCCTTTCCGGTCTCCATTTTGAAAATCACTCTATTCCAACTTTGCCCTCCTTGTTCCTTAGGGGTGTGGATGAAGTTGTAACACTTCCATTTTCAAAACAGAGACCTGCAAGGAAGGGCAGATGTGCAGTTGAGGAGGAGGAGGAGGAAGTGGTGAGTTAGCGGTCGGTGGAGGAGGACAGGCAGCAAGAGGGCCTGTGGAAGAGCTGGTCACAGAGGCAGTAGCAGGCAGATCTGCAACCCCTCTTAGGAGGGTCCATGTATGCCCCCCCCCCAGGCAGCTTGCCTCACCCTCTTCATGGGCTGCCTAATAACGAAGTCAGCAAGGGCACCTCTCTTGGATGCAACCTAGATAGGAGTGCAAAATGTATCACGAATACTTTGTATATTCTTGGCCATTAAAAAAGGGGTGGCAAATGACATCATGATTTCTTTTCAGTGTGGAGTATATCAACATATTTTCGAGGTTGTAAAGGAAAAGCAGAGCTTAGCATGCTCAGAGGATCAGTGAGGGCAGTATACTAGGGGTGGAAAAATTAAGCCCCAGCTTGTTCCTAATCAAGCTCTAATTGTCTCCCCACAACAATGCCTAATATAAAATAAATGTTTTTGCCACAGGTCACTGGAAGGAGTCGTTATCACTGGTGATGAGATGTTCTGCAAGGGAAGAAAAGAATTACTTGAAATTATTGAAAAGGACGTAGGATTCTTTATAGGTTTATTAAGCTATGGCTTTATTATCACACGGAAAGAATACTGGGATTTCTGGAAAGCAGGGGAAGACTCCAAGGAGAAAAGTCAAAAATTGCTGAATATGATCCAGGAAAGGGGGGAGGCAACTTGTTGCTGGTTCCTGGAAGAAGTAGAAAGGAAACATCCAGGCTCCATTCAGATTCTGCTAGTTGCAGTCCATGGTGAGTTTGACTTAGAGTACTTTCTGAACTTCAAGGACAGTTCAACTACCTTCCTCCTCCTTGCAACAGTCATGTCAGGTAAAGAATTGTCTTTTACAGGCTCAGGTAAAAAATTGGTCCAGGGGAGAGGCCCCTCAGGGCTGAAGTCAGAATCCCCCCTGTTTGCGGAGGAAGGAAGAAGCAGCAAGGTGGAAAACCCAGCAGTTTGTGGGGAAAGTGTTGTGTGTAATCTGTGTCCCTGTGAGGTAAGTGGCTGAACAGATGGGCCCAGACTGGGGGTGGGGGTGGGGCAGCTGCCACCCCCCAATCAAATAAATGAATAAAAATGCTTAACTAAAAGTAGAAATTCTAGAAAGATTTTGACAGATTTTTCTGAGCACTTGGGGTAAAAAAAAGTATTATTATTATTTTTTTCCAATTCAATGCTTTATTGAGTTTCATAAATAACAAAAAACAAACAAAAAATGATCTTATGTAAGTAATCTTATGTAAATATACAGATAAAAAAGATTCAACCTTATACAATCTCTTTAGTTCAACATTCTTACTAAAGTATAATAGACTTCCCGTCAACTCCCAGTGCGTTTAACATTTCTAATATCGAGTGTACTTATAATTATTACCTTCATCTATTTATATTTTCTATACATTCTTACAACATATACCAATTTCGCTTATTTCTTTGTTATTATTTTACACAAGGGTCACTCAAATGCAGCCATAGATGTCACACTGCTGTTATATTTTTATTAATATATCTTAAACATGTCCCATTTTTGAATAAATGATTGTTTTGTATTACCTCTCAACCAATTAGTCAATTGTGCCATTTACCGTATTTTTCACTCCATAGGACGCTCCTGACCAAAAGACGCACAAAGTTTTTAGAGCAGGAAAACAAGAGGAAAAAAATCTGACTCAAATGTTGTACTAAGCTATTTAAAACAGCAAAGTGTGTGGCGCCTGTCCACTTTGCTGCTTTAAAGCGAGCCACGGTATATAATGAAGAGAATGGAAAAAGGACAGACATTCCATTATACAGCAGCTGTTTTCATTATCACTGGGAAGTCAGTATTGGCAGCAGGCACAAAAACTAAAATTTGAGCATTTTACTATTATTAATCAAGAATATTAATAGTCAGGGAGAGAAACCAGGGCTGTGCAAATGAGAAGTGCTTGGAGTATGGAGGAACAGAAAAGAGATCAAATGATTGTGCTCCAATTCCTAAATCTCTGAAGTTTTCTCAAAACAGGCATGGTTCTTTTGAAAGGAAGATTCAAAATGGAGACTGAGCAAAGAACAGAGGAGGAAAAGAGGGCAGATAAATAGCTTCCATTCAATACCAACACAATGTTTTTGGTTTAGTATAGGTGGACTGTACTTGTAAGAATTTGTATAATGAATGATAGATTTGGAGTGGAATATCTGTGCCACTTTTCAGCAATAAAGATTAGCTGCTAGGAACATGGTCCACACACAAACACACAGGATGTCTGGTTATAGTTGTGCAGTTTAAACTGTTCCTGAGCCAGATGCCTGCTCAGTTTTAGCTGAGATCTCTATTACTGGTTTGTGGAGATGCTTTGCATGTATTTATGACTATTTCTGCAAAACTGCTACTTGAAGAAATCCCCAAACTTAAGATTTTTAAACTTCAAATGAAGCTCAGAATCCAGTTAGGCAATCCTTTGCAGTTCAATTAGGAGGCACTGAGAGACAGCAATTTGCTGCTCCCCACCCCCACCCTCCACCCCAGGAGCACACAGCCTTCCCTCTGCTTGCAAACCTTGTCGGGGCTTCAGGGGAAAGCAAAGGCTGCAGGCAGAGCAGTGTGGCTCCCCACCCCCCACCCCCAAAAAGCACCCCAGGAGCGCAGGGCAAAGGCGCACAGCCTTCCCTCTGCTTGTAAACCTTGTGGGGCTTCAAGGGAAAGCAAAGGCTGCAGGCAGAGCAGTGTAGCTCTTCCCCCCCCCACCCCAGGAGCACACAGCCTTCCCTCTGCTTGCAAACCTTGTCCTGGCTTCAGCGGAAAGCAGAAGCTGCCGGCAGAGCACCGTGGTTCCTCCCACCACCCCTAAAGAGCAGCCCGGGAGCGCACAGCCTCCCTGCTGCTTGCAAACGTTGCTGGGGCTTCAGGGGAAAGCGGAGGCTGCTGGCAGAGCACCGTGGCTCCTCCCCCCACCCCTAAAGTGCAGCCCAGGAGCGCAGGGCAACAGCGATTTGGCTCCAGGGACCACACATTCGCTCCATAAGACGCACAGACTTTTCCCCTTACTTTTTAGGAGGGGAAAAGTGCTCCTATGGAGCGAAAAATACGGTATGCATATTCTAGTAATTTAGTCTGCCAGTCTATTCTCGTTGGAACCCTTTCCAGTTTATTGCAATTAAGGTTCGGGCGGCCACAGTTGCGTATAGCTGTTGTTGAGACATTTCATTTCAAATCTGCAAGACACAGCCAGACAGATTACTCCTGAGTGTCCCTGCTCAGGAACTGGAGCCAAACCAGCCGCCTGGTTCTCTAGGGAGCTGGTCATGATTAAGTGTGTGAGAGGGTGACTACAAGAAAATTGGCAGAATGAGTCCATCTGAACACAGACTAGAGCTTCTTTGAAGACCTATTCTGTGGCACTGCATTCCCATTTCCTGGAATGGAGATGTTTTCTTATGTTAAATGGCTGTGTACTTGGGGGGGGGGCGCACGTCCTTTCACTGTATCTCTCATGTGATTGGCTGACTGTGGGTCACATAAGAGACATTCCGTTCTCTTCCAACTGTTATTCCAGTAACTGTCTTCTTCAACTGTCTTTCTGCTTCTCTCTGTGTGTGTGAGGAGGAGGAATGGCTGCCAAGAGAGAGTTTTCAGGATACTCATTTGGGCCGTGTGTGTTAGTGTGATCTGTCTAAAGTGAAACAGAAAGAGGAAGATCCCTAAATGCTAATAGTGAGAAACCTGTGCAAGAAAATGAAGAATTACAGAAGATATCAGGATTGGCAATAGTAACTAAAACTAAGTACTTGGGAATATGGCTAACAAACAAAAATAGTAACCTATTTAAGGACAATTATACAAAAATTTGGAAAGAAATTAAAAGAGATTTGCAGATGTGGAATAAGTTAAGACTATCACTCTTGGCAGGATATCAGTAGTAAAAATGAACATGTTGCCTAAAATGATGTTTTTATTTCAAATTATACCAATCATTGGAGGAAGGGCTGTTTCAAATTATGGCAAAAAGACCTATCAAAATTTATTTTGCAGTATAAAAAACCAAGAATAAAAGTTTATTAAAACATAAACTTTTAATAGGTAAAAAATACAGAGGTGGATTGGCATTACCTGTCCTAAATTTGTATTAAGATTCGGTTTGTTTAAATTGGCTAAAAGAGTGGATATTCTGGCAAGGGAAAAGACCTCGAATTAAACATCAAATCTTAATTGATATTAAGGATAGAGGAGGCTTTTCCCTGTTGGATTTAAGACTGTATTATGAGGCGGCCTGTCTCACCTGGCTAAAGGAGTAGTGCACACTCAAAAACCCGGAATTGTTAGACCTGGAAGGGTATAACAACAGGCATGGCTGGCATGCCTACCTGGGTTATGGGCAATTCAGAGTTCACAGCAACTTTTTGAATCATATCAGAAAATCCCACTACATGGTCTGGGGAAAATATAAAGACCTTCTTGAACCAAAAGTGCCTTGGTGGGTCTCACCAATTGAAGCACTTGCAGTGAGAAGGAAGAACACAAACGGAAATTCGCCTGTATATATATAATTATTAAAAGAAGAAGAAAACCAGTTAAAACTTTAAAATTTTCAAGAAATATGAGACCAAGTGTCGGATTGGTTTCAATATTATCAATTATTTGAAACTTTTAAAAATGATAAAAAGAAAGGATTTGCGATGGAGTTTCAAATCCGACCTAGTAAACTATAAGACCAAAACCCTTTCTGAAGCATACCGACTCCTCTTTGACTGGCAAGTCAAGGAGGAGGAGGTCAAATCAGCAGTGATTAAATGGGCCAAAGACTTTGGCCACAACATAGAGATGAGCCAATGGGAACACCTACGGAAAGTTAATTGGAAATTTATGGCATGTTTTATGTTAAGGGAGAACCTCCAAAAGATGCTGTATCGATGGTATTTAACCCCCTGTAAACTTTCCAAAATGTACAAAAATGTTCCAAATACATGCTAGAGATGTAGAGAACCAGGTGGAACTCCCTTCCACATGTAGTGGGTATGTAAATAGATTAAGACCTTTTGGAATGATATATATAGAGAGAGCTCAAAACAATGTTAAATGTAACTTTTCTGAAAAAATCAGAATCATTTTTATTGGGCATTACAGGTCCAGACATTGTTAGGAAGAAAAGAAATGTTTCTGTATGCCACCACTGCCGCAAGGGTACTTATAGCAAAACACTGGAAGAGTGACAAAATTCCCACTAAATCTGAATGGTTACTAAAGCTGGTAGAATATGCTGAATTAGACAGTCTCTCTGAAAAAAATCAAAGAGAAGTCAAAACAGGAGTTCGTTTCAAACTGGGAACCTCTAAGGAGATATTTAAAGAACAATTGTTGCAATCAGTTTTTCCGGGTCATGTGGTAAGCATGACTAAGCCGCTTCTGGTGAAACCAGAGCAGCGCACGGAAACACCGTTTACCTTCCCGCCGCACTACAAACTCGGTAGTAGCCTTTGAGTAATCTCTGTGAGTCATATAGGTTAAAAGGGAGAAAACAGATTTATATATGTATGAAAATTATTATTTCATTAGTAATATATTGAGGCAATAGGTTTATTAGAGTGGAAAAACTGGGAAGGACGGGAGGTCAAGATTATGTATTAAATGTATTGTAGGAAGACATATTCTTTTGTTGGATTTTCGTTTTGACAAAATTGACTTATGTAAAATAAGGAAGGTATGTCTTTGATGTACAGATGCAAGTATGAAGAAAAAGCATATATATATATATATATATATATATATATATATATATATATATAAAGAGTGGATATTGCTACAGGATGGAGACTTATTGGACCTAGAAGGGTTTAATAACCGCTATGGGTGGCATGCGTATTTAGGATACGAAAAGGTGAAAGTTCACAGGGGATTTACCAATCATATCATAAGAAAATTGATATACAGAGTATGGCCAAAATACAAAGAACTACTAGAACCGAAGACACCCTGGTGGATTTCACCCTAGAAGCGATAACGGTAAAAAAGAAAAATATAGAACTAAATTGGGCTACATATAAGGACTTATTTGGGACACAGGTGGTGCTGTGGGTTAAACCACAGAGCCTAGGACTTGCTGATCAGAAGGTCGGCGGTTCGAATCCCTGCGACAGGGTGAGCACCCATTGCTCTGTCCCAGCTCCTGCCAACCTAGCAGTTTGAAAGCACGTCAAAGTGCAAGTAGATAAATAGGTACCGCTCCAGCAGGAAGGTAAATGGCATTTCCGTGTGCTGCTCTAGTTTCGCTGAAAGTGGCTTTGTCATGCTGGCAACATGACCTGGAAAAACTGACTGTGGACAGATGTCGGCTCCTACGGCCAATAAAGCGAGATAAGCGCTGCAACCTCAGAGTTGTTTGCGACTGGACCTAATGGTCAGGGGTCCTTTACCTTTTTAAAAATATGTAAAATGTATAAAATAAAATCTGTGTTGGAGGTGTAACAAATACATGTGTCTCATACATATGTGTTGAACGTGATAAAATCAAAGGCTTCTGAGATATCACGTACAAAGAGTTAAAGAAAAAGTTTAACAAAACTTTGTTAAGAAAACAGAAGCTTTTTTATTGAGGAAACTAGACACCCTTGCCAACAAAGGTCCGTATAGTTAAAGCCATGGTTTTTCCAGTAGTGATGTATGGAAGTGAGAGCTGGACCATAAAGAAGACTGATCGCCGAAGAATTGATGCTTTTGAATTATGGTGCTGGAGGAGACTCTTGAGAGTCCCATGGACTGCAAGGAGATCAAACATATCCATTCTTAGGGAAATCAGCCCTGAGTGCTCACTGGAAGGACAGATCGTGAAGCTGAGGCTCCAATACTTTGGCCACCTCATGAGAAGAGAAGACTCCTTGGAAAAGACCCTGATGTTGGGAAAGATTGAGGGCACAAGGAGAAGGGGATGAGATGGTTGGACAGTGTTCTCGAAGCTACAAACATGAGTCTGACCAAACTGCAGGAGGCAGTGGAAGACAGGAGTGCCTGGCGTGCTCTGGTCCATGGGGTCACGAAGAGTCGGACATGACTAAACGACTAAACAACAACAAGACACAGATATTGCCAGAGAAAATAATAAAATATTCTTTTACGCCACGGGAGTGGCAAGAACACTAATTGCCAAAAATTGGAAAAAAGAAATAATCCCAACAAAAAAAGAATGGCAAGACAAATTATTTGATTATATTGAATTGGCCAGATTGATAGAGGCAATTAGGAGTCAAACCAACCCAATCAAAAATTCCAAAAAGAATGAGTAGAATACAGAGAATATCTTAAAAAGCAGTGCCCTCAAATTAATACTTGGACTAGTTTCCATTAAATTCTGCAAAATAGTTTATGGTACTTAAGTTAAAAACAGAAAAAGGGGTAATAATGAACTAAAAGGGAGACAGTTTACCAAAAACGATAAAAAAACCGTGATGAGGATGAAGGAAGTCAATTGGAAGAAAAGAAGAACTGAAATACGGTCCGTGGGTGGGGGTGTATGTATAAAATTGACTTTGTTTTGTATAAGTTTTCGTACGTTATCATGTTTATTTGTACTTTTTTGTTTTGTGTTGTGTTGTTTTGTTGTTTCTATTTGTTGTTTGTTTCTCTTTTGATTCTGTACCTGTATTATTATTTTCATGTCCAGTTTGACAAGTGTGTGTGTATGTTATAAATAAACTCAATAACTGTTACTTTTTTTTAGATGAAAGAGAAAGATCCCTAAACGTTTATAGGGAGAAACCTGTGCAGGGGCTCTCTGTAAGGAACAGGGGGAATACTGCTGAGGTGAAAGAAAAAACCTTTTGCCAGGGAACTGCCATCGCGGCCAGGAGTGGAGGAAAGGCTCCCAAGCGATGCCGGAGAAGGTCCCAGCAGGAAAAGAGGGGACTCAGCAACCGGGGAAGGAAATCAGCGTTGCACCAGGGAGGAAGGCAGGCAGAGGCGGGCTTCGGAGAGATGGCTCCAGGACTCTTCACCAGAGACCAGCGGGGAGAGCACAGGTCCTCCACTGCCCACACCCACCCTGCACAGAAGACTTCCGCGCAGGGAGGCTAGGCAGAGACTATCCGTCAAGGAACTTTTATGTTGGAAGAAGTTCAGGAAACACACACTGACGGATTCTGCCAGTGACTGAGACAGACGCAGATTCAGGACTGTCCAGCCAAGGGAAGGTTTATCCAGGCAACCTCGCCGAGAGTGGCGGCAACTTACGCACGAGCAACCCCCAATTCCCATTACACCTTTCATAAGAAACTGTAAGACCTGAGTGAGAACTACTATGGCCAAAATGAATGCAGAACAAAGTAGCTCTATTTGTATTTGTGGGTTTGACCTCAAGCAGTGCTCCTTGGTGTGGTCATATGGGTGTTAGAAACAGACAGGAACGTCCTGCTTTCAGGTGGAAAAGGCGTCTGGTGCCCATATTAATGATAAATTATTTTGTAACAGGATCTTCCAGAGACAATCAGACCAGAGGTGTTTTTGGACTCAGAAACAAGTCATGAAAGTTACAGGTGAGCAATGTCTCTCTCAGATCTCACAGAGCTTTCTCCTTTAAGGGAAAGTTTTTAAGTTTCTTTTTAAGTTTCAGAGAAGTGTTCCGCAGAACACATCTGGTATATGAAGGTCTCGCAATCATCACATGTGGTGGTGCTCTCTAAAACGTTCCCAAACTACATCTGTGTCAGGGACTGGGCAGAGGAGGAGTGGTGGAGACCTCCCCCCCTGAACCTTCCAGGGAGGAAGATGAGGAAGACAGTATAGATTTGGAACAGGGGTTTGAGGGAGGTCACAGCTCAGAGTCAGATGAGAGGGAAAGTTGGGAAATCATGGGAGAGCCAGAGCAACGCACAGCTAACATGTTATCATTAGAAAGCATTCCAGACCCTCCATCTTCCAGAACCCAGCGAGCCTTAACAGTAGGAGAGCAAAGACACCCCCCCCAATACTGTCTTCCTCTTCCTCCTCCCTGGAAGGTTGGGGGGGGCGAGTTTGGAGTGGGGATTGCTTCCCATCAGGAAGAGGCAGAGGTGGAGGCTGGAGAGGAGGTGGGCCAGGAGACAGATGTGAGGCAGGCTGCTTCCCATCAGGAAGATGCAGAGGGTGTTCAGCTGGTGTTTAATCCACTTCTCTTTCCACTTTCTACTTTGTGGCATTCAGACTGTGCTTCACGAAGGCCGGATCCTTCCTTTGCTTTTATACTGATGTCATATTTGAGGTGAGAGGAGCTGTGACCATCACCTACCACTTTGATTCATGGTCTAAGCACCTGGCCGAACAGAACACGGAGGACTGGGTTGTCGCTGGGCCTTTGATCAACATTGAAGCAGATCCAGCAGAGGCTGTGGCAGCTGTTCACTTCCCTCACTTCTTGTGTCTTGCAGGTATGGCAGGTAAAAAAGCTTGCAACAAAATAAATACAGCAGTACCTCGCTTTTTGAACATAATCAAGTTCTGAAACGTTGAAAAACTAAGGTACTGTTTGCAGATAGGGAAACAAATAACTTGCACTCAGTGGAAGCTGCGTTTCCTGTTTGACTTTCATGGTGTATTCGAAAACCAAAGCATTTACTTTCGGGTTTATGCCGTTCAAAAACCAAAATGTTCGTCAACAGAGACATTAAAAAACTTAGGTACTTTACTGAGCAGGGAGAGGCTGTGGCCGAGAGCAGTCCAGAATTGGAGGCAGAAGTGGAGGCTGGAGGAGGTGGGCCAGGAGACAGATGTGAGGCAGGCTGCTGAAGAAGCCAGGGGAGTCTCTCCTTCCTGCTGCAACAAGCTCCCTTCCCCACTGGTCTCCCAGAACCAGAAGAGGTACAGTGGCATGTGGTCAGTGGACTTGGGGGAAGAGGCTAGTTTCCTAAGTATTATGCAATGAGTTGAATAGGATCCAAAAGGCAGCAGTCTGATTGGTCCTTGAACAATAGTATTCAGAATGCAGCAGTCTGATTGGTCCTAGAACAATAGCGTCCAGAATGCAGCAGTCTGATTGGTCCTAGAACAATGCAGCAGTATGATTGCTCCGCAGGAGCCACTCAATCCAGCTCCAGGTGGAAGTGAATCCGCAACCTGATTGGCCTACAGGAGAATCCCAGAATTAGCCAATCATGTGCGGCCCATTGTGTCAATAATGTATATAAAGCATATATTTTGGGAGAACTTGCATTCCTCACTATAGTGGTGCCTCGCAAGATGAAATTAATTAGTTCCGCAAGTTTTTTCTTCTTGTGAGTTTTTCGTCTTGCGAAGCACGGTTTCCCATAGGAATGCATTGAAAATCAATTAATGCATTCCTATGGAAACCGACTTCAGACCAGGTCCGGGGACAGTCTGTCCCCCGACCTCTTCTGAAGGCTGGGGGGGGGACAAGGGCTTTTCTTCCCACCCCCAGCATTTTAAAAAACCCCGGGACAGCGTAGGGCTTCTCCGTTGTCCGGGGCGATCTTAAAATGCTGGCGGGCGGCATTTTAAGATCGCCCCGGGACAGCGGAGGACTTCTCCGCTGTCCGGGGAGATTTAAAAGCCCCTGGGAAGGCAGGCAGGGGGGACAAAGACTTTTGCCCCCCGCCAGCCTTCAGAAGAGGTCCAGGACCTCTTCTGAAGGCGGGCGGGGGGCGAAAGTCTTTGCTCCCCCCGCCTGCCTTCAAAAGCCCTCCGGGACAGCGGAGAAACGCGCCGCCCGGGGTGATTTTAAACCCGCTGTCCCGGGTTTTTTAAAAATCGCCCCGGACAGCGGAGAAGTCCCCCGCTGTCCCGGGGTTTTTAAAAAACCTCTCCGCCCCGAAGCCTGGCGCAGGGAGGAGGTCTCCGCCCCCCCGCCAGGCTTCGGAGCAGCCTTCCGAAACCTGGCGGCGGGAGGAGGTCTGAGGACAGTGCTTCCCCGCTGTCCCGGAGATTTCCCTATGGGCTTTCGTCTTGCGAAGGAAGCCCATAGGGAAATTCGTTTTGCGAAGCACCTCCAAATCGGAAAACCCTTTCGTCTAGCGGGTTTTCCATCTTGCGAGGCGTTCGTCTTGCGGGGCACCACTGTACTATGAGCTGAATAAAGAGCATGAAATCCACACTCGACTCCGAGTTTATTTCACTAGCGATGAGGATGGGATCCTGCTGAGCTGACTGCCACCTGCCGCACCGCTGCCTCACACCATGTATCTGGGCTTCAGCTCCGGGCCCCAAGGAACCCAGAATGGCATCCAACAGCAGCTTCTCGCCATTCAGCTCAGCATCAGGAGACTGGGAAGCGTACGCCTCCCGTTTCACCTTCCTCCTAGAGGCCAAGGGGGTCACCAACGAAGAAGATGCCAAGAAGAGGGCGATATTCTTCAGCATCTTTGGAGAGGAGACGTTTGAAATCACCTGGGCTCTCTTTGCGTCTGAAGATGTCACTACTGTTCCTTACAATACAATACTGGAACGGCTGAAGGGACACCTCGCCGCAGCCCTCAGTGGTGGCTTGTCAAAATGCCTTGTACGCAAAGCGGCAAGCCCCTGGGGAAACCATAACTGGGTTTGTGACCTCTCTCTGCCAAGCCGCCCGGTTCTGCAACTTCTCAGAGTTGGCGAACATGCTTCGTGACCGCCTCGTCGGTGGCCTGAAGGATGAGAAGCTTCAATGACGCCTCTACGCCAAGAAGGACCTAATGTTCCAGGTCGTGCTGGAGGAGGCCCTGGCAACAGAAGCTGCCGAGAGGTCGACGCAAGAGGCTCGACCGAGCCTGTCCGAACCGAGGGTCGCTGATGACTCAGGATCTGACAGGGAGGTGGTGCACCGAGTACAGCAGTGCACTCAAGCAGCGCACAGACCACAGCTGCCTCAACGAAAAGGAGGGAACTGCGTAAGCTGTGGGGAGAGTCACGAGAGAAGGACCTGCCATTTCCGCAACTCAGAGTGCAGGCAGTGCAGGAAATCGGGACACATTGCCTGGGTGTGTCGGGCTCAGCCCACCCGAGGCCAGGCTTCAGATGACCGATCCAAGGGCCCCAGGCCCCGGGGCCCAACACACCAAGGCAACTCGACAGAGATCATGGACTGCCGGGTATACCAGTTGCCCCACCCCAGCAGAGAAAATTTATGTAGAGGTACAGATAGAAGGGGCTCCGTTCCACATGGAGCTTGACACGGGTTCAACTCTATCCATAATCTCGGCAAGAACCTTAACGAAACTGCCCTACTGGGGGTCCCAAACTCAGGCCAGGCCCATTCACCCTCCGGGACTTCCAGAAACGTAAGGTCCCCACAATGGGGGTGGGGACCTTCAGGGTGCAATATTGAGGACGGACACAGCAACTGGACTTGCTTGTGGTCAAGGGGCCCCTGCATTAGCTTACTGGGATTGGCATGGTTTGGACCACTGGGGCTAGCCATCACCGGGGTGAACCGCACTAGCTTACAAGTGGACGTGGATGCCATATGCAAGGAATTTCCGGAGGTTTTCGATGGGAAATTGGGACAGTATATGCCCCCCCATTGCCCTACAGCTTGACCCCGCAGTACCACCTGTCAGGTTCAAGGCCCGTCGGGTCCCGTTCACCCTGAAACCCCGTATAGACGAGGAATTGGACCGGCTTGTGGAGCAAGGAGTGCTGGAGCCTGTGCCTAATGCCCCCTGGGAAAACCCAATCATCACACCCGTCAAGCCTAATTCGGTCTGCATCTGCGCAGACTACAAATGTACCACAAGCAAGACCCTCACGACCCACGCCTACCCAGTGCCAGTGGTCAGCCATGTCCTCGCCACCCTGGCTGGGTAAAAAATTTTCGGCAAGCTGAACTTGGCCCAAGCCTATCAACAGCTGCCAGTGGATGAAGCCACAGCAGAGGCACAGACAATTGTGACGCACAGAGGAGCATTCAGGGTAAAGCGGCTATATTCGGTGTCAGCGTGGCACCAGGCATATTCCAGAATCTAATGGACTCTCTTCTTAAAGGGATCTAATGGACACTCTCCTTAAAGGGATTCCTGGTGTCACCCCCTTCTTCAATGATGTGTTGATTGCCGGGCCCACGCCAGAGGAGTTTGAGGACCACCTCCGCACTGTTCTCCGTTTCCAGACGGCGGGTCTCAAGGTGAAGTGGGAAAAGTGTCTACTAGGAGTGCCTCAGGTGGACTTTCTGGAATTTATGGTGGACGCAGAAGGGGTCCACCCGACTGGGAACAAGGTACGGGCCATTTGTGATGCCACAGCGCCCAAGGGCAAGACTGAACTTCAGGCCTTCTTGGGATTATTAAACATTTACCATACTTTCCTTCCCCATAAGGCAGCGGTAGCAGAGCCCCTACACAGACTCCTGGACAAGCGGGCCCCTTGGGTGTGGGGCCAGCGCCAGGAGGCCGCATTCCGGGCAGTCACAGACTTGCTCGTCTCAAACTTGGTCTTGGCACACTTCGACGAGAAGCTGCCGGTGGTGCTAGCATGCGATGCCTCACCCTACGGCATCAGCGCTGTCCTGGGACACCAGCTCCTGGATGGAAGAGAGGTGCCGGTGGCGTATTTTTCCCAGACACTCGATGCAACTGAGCGGATCTACTCTCAAACTGACAAGAAGGGTCTGGCAATCGTGAAGGGAGTAAAAGAATTCCATGATTGCTTGTACGGGCAGCCCTTTACCATGGTGACTGACCACAAGCCGTTGCCTGGCTTGTTTGCCCCTGAAAAGCAGACCCCCCAAGTGCTGTCTCCTCGCATCCTCAGGTGGTCAGTTTTCCTTGGCAGCTACCAGTATGCACTGATTCACCGCCCTGGGAAGGCGATGGGCCACATGGATGCCCTCAGCAGGCTACCATTACCAGAAACAGGCCCCGACCCAGCACCCACGCAAGAGGTTATGAGCCTGGAGCTGCTTCCCGACTGCCCCATTCAGGCACAAGAAGTTGCGCACCATTCCAAGAAAGATAGGGTCATCTCCCGGGTCCAGGACTGGGTGTGGAGGGTATGGCGCAGCAGCAGCCCCGGGCCAGAATTCACTGGCTACACAACCCGCAAACATGAACTGTCGGCCCACGAGGGGTGCCTGTTATGGGGAAGCAGGGTCGTTGTTCCCCAGCTCCTCCGCAAAAGGGTCCTCACAGCCCTACACGAGACACACCCAGGGATAGTGAGAATGAAGGCCCTTGCCAGGAGTTATGTGTGGTGGCTGGGGATTGACGGAGAGATAGAGACCTGGGTCAAACACTGCCAGGCCTGCCAAGAACCCCGCCCAGATCCCCCAAGGGCCCCAGTCCAGTCCTGGGAGTCCGCCCGAGCACCATGGTCACGCCAGCATGTGGACTTCGCTGGCCCCTTTCAGGGGAAGACATTCTTCATAGTGGTGGACTCCTACACCAAATGGCTGGTCGCACTGGTACCGTCCACTTCCACGTCCGGAGCCATCCGGGTACTACGCAGGCTATTTGCAACCCACGGGCTCCCTGACACTCTTGTCTCAGACAACGGAACCGCATTTACATCAGGAGAATTCCAGACCTTCACAGCGCAGAGCACCACCCGCCACATCTGCTTGGCGCCATTCCACCCTGCCACCAATGGCCAAACAGAACGCATGGTGCGGACCACCAAGGACACCATCTGCCGCATGATGCAAGGGGATTGGGAGTACCACCTTGCCACATTCCTTCTAGCACAGCACCCCCAGCTCAACCACTGGCCGGAGCCCCGCTGAACTACTAATGGGCAGGCGCCTCGCAATCAGACTGGACTGCCTTCACCCTGACAGAGCTCAGGATGAGGTAGCGGTGGGGGGAGGCAGGAACGCCCACACCTTTGTGGCCCAGGACCCAGTGTACGCAAAGAATTTTGGGGCAGGCCCACCACAGTCACCAGGGTCACTGGCCCCGTGTTGTACGAAGTGCTAACGGGGGGGGGCAATGCTGGCGCCGCCACTGCGACCAGCTACGGCGAAAATTCCCAGGAGAAAACCAGGAAGAGGACAGGTCAGAGGAGTCCCAAGGGAGCAGTGGGGCAGTAAGGCCTGTAGAGCAGAAGGGGCCAGCAGGTGAGGCAGAATCAGTAAATACAGAGAGGACCCGCAAGGCCGAAAGGACACCAGAACCAGAGCCACGACTGAGCGAGCCGCTTGTGCCAGACCAAATGGCCCCATCGCAGCCAGCATCCTCGGAACATGAACCAGAACCCAAACCCCTGACCAGGGAACACCCCAGGCCGCAACGCACACGTAGGCGGCCTGTGTACCTTGAGGACTACGAATGCAACCTCCCGGGCAGGACTGGAACTTAGAGGGGAGGAGTGTTATGTACTGAGTTGAATAGGTTCCAGAAGGCAGCAGTCTGATTGGTCCTAGAACAATAGGGTCCAGAATGCAGCAGTCTGATTGGTCCTAGAACAATGCAGCAGTCTGATTGGTCCGCAGGAGCCACCCAATCCAGCTCCAGGTGGAAGTGAATCCGCAACCTGATTGGCCTACAGGAGAATCTCAGAATTAGCCAATCACGTGTGGCCCATTGTGTAAATAATGTGTATAAAGCAGATATTTTGGGGAAACTTGCATTCCTCACTACTATGAGCTGAATAAAGAGCATGAAATCCACATGCGACTCCGAGTTTATTTCACTAAGTGTTCTGCTGGCACCTTCTTCTCAAAGCCTGTGAAGCTTCTGCCTGCCTCAGGGAGAGAGGCACATTACTCTGATGGGTGCAAGAGCCTTCTCATCCCCTTCTCAAAGCCCACCTAGCATTGGGAAGAAGGCAGCAGGGCTTCAGCATCCTTTCAGAGATCTGGTGCTCCTTCCCAAAGCCCAGGAAGCTTCTGCCTGGCTTAGGGAGGGAGGTGCTATACTCATGCATGCAATGTCACAATGTCGCCACCCCACCCCCAAATCGCCTTCACAAGCTGGTGCCTCACACCATAACTGTTCACCTACATAAAATGTCACCCGCACCACGAAAGAGGTATGAAAAGAGCAGAGCAAATACAGATATGGCAACGGAGTCTCAGATTGCTTGGGAAGGACCCAGGGGGGAAAGGAGCCTTAGGGAACTGCCTCATGGGGACTAGATCTACCAGAAGGAGTTGCTATGCTCACTAGGCCTGCCTTCTTTCTTTGAATAAATAGTTGACTTCACTGACACCGGGTGACAGACGGTCCACAGTTTCCCACTTGTGACACGTTTGTTTGTTTGTTTTTCCTTTGTGCTGCTTTCCAGGCAAAAGTGATTCCCAAGTCCACATTGCACATTTTGTGGAAGGGGGGATGAGTCTAGAGAAGCCAGACAGAGTGGGGCCGTATCATGTTGTGCTGGAAAACCCAAACTTCTCTCCCCGTGGAGCCATTTTGAGAACGTCATGGTCATGGTTTAAGCGAAAGATAAAGGTCCACACTGTAGCACTGCTCTATCAAATGCTTCGATTCAGCTCACCAAAATTCCACCTGTATCTCCTACCCAATGACTCTTCTCTGAGAAAGGTAATCGGGATTCTCCAACTCTGATTGGTATTCCAGATTGCCTGGATCATTTGCCTGACCATAGTAAGTCTGACAGAGTAGCTATGCAAAATTATGCCTCAGAGTGTGTCATGGTTCATGAACTGTATCTCCCTTTGTTGGGCTTGAGCTAATTTACCAAACAGCTAGCCAACATCAACTTGCTGCTGGAGAGAAGATTTGCAGTTGCTCTCCAACTGAGTTATTTTGGTTGCCACCAGTAGTGGTTTTTAAAGTGAGCTTTTCAACAGTGTAACAAGCATTTTTCATTTGCTGGGCAACCTCCTTTCCAAATGCCCTGCTTGGTTCCATAGACAGCATGGTTAGTCAATCGTGCGAACAAAATATGTTTATTCTATAGTTCTAAGTACACCCAGCCTTCTCTGAAATCAGTGGCACTACCTTCAAAGTAAATGCATTTAGTGATGTGCAAATTCTCCTTGCTTCGTTTAGTAGTTACAAGCTTTCTACAAGAAGATTCTTTCTGGTGTGCAAGGCTGGCACATGAGAGAAACTGCTCCCCATGCAGTCTGAAAATTGCCTGTCCATATTTTGGTTTCTGATGAGATTTAGTTTTCTTTATCTTGAAGATGGAGAATCTGTGTCTCTGCAGATGCTCTTGGACTACAAAACCCATCGTTCCTGACCCACACTGGCTGTGGCTGATAGGAATCCAATGACATCTGGAAGGTTGCAGCTTCCCCATCCCTGCCTTGCATGCTGCAACAAAGCCAAGAAAGGGGTAGGGATCCAGTATTCCAGAAGTTGGTTACCTTTCTTGCATATCTCAAAAGTGACCTTTGCCTTTCCTAGGCGGTTCATGAGCACGAAGCACAATGCCCTTCACAAAGAATAGACAAACCCCCCGGGACCCTGAGGCCTCTGACGATTGGCTGCCACTTCTTTGTGGAGACAAATGATGTCAGAGTCTGTCCCAAGGTGAGACGCAAAGATGATGAAAGGCTTTGCTAGGGCAGAGCCAAGGCTGTAAAGTATGAGAATGGGAGGGACTCCACCAGGATCCCTTGTCACGCTTTAATTTGACTCCCTTGTACTGGTCGACTGGGCTAAGCCTTGTTTGCACATAAGGAGGTTTTATGCTTCCCCACAGGAAGTGGAGTTTCAATATCTGGATGCTGACAAGCTGCAGCAGTATGTGGAACTGTTTGCTCAGCAAATGCAAGACATGTTCAACTTCAGTGTGATGGAGAAGCCCAAGAATGAACTCATCTGGGAGGCCCTTGTGACACAAGGTGAGCTTAGTTGGAAGAAAATTGGAAGGTTGGACCATAATTTGGGAGGCAGGGTGATAAAGGACATCCCAGTCACATTCCCTCTTTGACTGCCTCTTTCCTCTACTCTTTCAGAAGAGTTAAAGTCTCCTGAGATGACGTCTTCTCCTTCAAGCTCAGAGCAAGGTCTGCAGGTTTCAATTACTTATTTCCTCGTAGTTAAATCCCAGCTTCCTCCCAATGGCAGCACAGAGTGGCTGGTGATACAGTACCATAGATAAGTCACTTTTGTAATGTTAGGGAATCGCCTTCCGGTGCAGGTTCCCCATTGCTTTATAGTCTCCTTTGGTGCCAGATGAAGTTCTTTCAACGCAGCTAAATTTTGTAGAAACAGCTTTAGCTTGGATTCAGCACACCCAGTGTGCTAACAGAATCCAGTGCAAATGCTCATGATACTGCAATTGGGCTTTTCTCCCTTCACCCGCCACTACCCTAAAATGCACTTTGGAAGATCAAGGAGAACCCCCAGAATAGCCGGAAAGGGTACGGTGTGTATACTTGGTTGTTGGGGAGGGATAGCTCTGTCTGGCAAGAGGGTGACATTTAATTTCTCCCTGTATGTTTTACAGCCTGGGCTTCTTAGTTTTCAGCTGAGTGTTAGTTGTTAAATTGTCACTTTTAAATTGGTTTAATTGGTTTTCTAACTGCATGTTAATGTGTGTGTTTGTTGCTTTGCTTTTCCTTGTGAGCCAGCTGGAGAATTTGTGTCATGAAGTGGCAATATAAGGTAAAATTTACATAGATATAAAAAACACTGTGAAAATGCTTTTTTAAAAATGTTTTGAAATCTACATTGAATTTTCCATAGCTCTCTTTCACCATCTAGTGTCACATTTATATATTGCACTTAACAACACTCATAAAACGTTTTATTAGCAGCTGTATAGCTGAGTGCTGAGTGCAAGGTATAAATAAGTAACATTTGTAGCACAAAGTCCTTAAAAGGGGCCTTCTTCACAGGCACAGGCCTTGTGGGTAAAGTTTTCATGGATTTAAAAGCTGGGTAGTCAGTGGTATGAACTCTCCCCGCAGAAGAAAGGAAAGCTCATGGCACTATTAAGAACAATTGATTCTTCTTGGGTTTTAAAATGAGAGAAGATAGAAATGAGTATGACATGATTAATAAGACATGATTAGAGATGTGAGACTTCAGATAAAAATGAATGAAGTATTTATTATGTGAGGTGTGAGTGCATTCAGACTCCTATCAAGATGGGGCATCATTCTGGTGAGAATGGGGAATGTGCTATAGTTCCCCAGATATGCATGGCCCCCTGAACCAGAGAACCCTTTCCTTAACTACTATTCACAAAGGTTTATTGTCTATTCATAATTCCAGTACTGGGGACAGAGAGTTCCTTAAGAAATGCATTTCATAGAATATTAGGACTGTCTTATTTGATTAGTCATAGTTTCGGCCAGGAAACCTCTGCCATGATAGATTGGGAGTCAACAGCCAGCACAGCCAGCCATAGTTGGCTTGCATCCCCACACCATACTTTTTTTTAAAGCCCTCTTACATCATTTCAACAGTGGTGGGGAATCCTGGGAACTGTAATTTGTTAAGCATCTCCTAACAACTCCCAACACCCTCACTATCACTCCACACAGCATCAATCACATTTTTCTAAGTAGAGGGTTTGCTTCTATGCCAGGCACACTTTTTCTGGGATTTTTCTTAAAAAGAAATAATTCAGTCCAGCCCAGAAATTGTCAAGACAGCAACCTTGCAAATTGAACACACTGGGAATGCTACGATTTTCCTGACATTCTTTCCCTGCTCCCATTTGCTTGTTGGTAGTGAACTCAACACACTTGTTCATGATGCAAAATGCTGGAGAGATTTGAAAATCCTGGGTTCATGTCCAGTGATTATGATTTTCCCATAGTCCCTGCAAGTTTCATAAACACACCTTCTCTCTCGTTTTTCCAGGTGCTTGTTGCTTCACTATGTCCCATGCTGCATCAGGACATAGTGTGGAAAGCAGGTAGGGCTTAACTGTTCCTCATGAAAGGCCAGTCCTGCTATTAGGGACAATGAAGCAGCTGCCACAGAGAGGCAGCAGATATTGAAGGGGTGGTGCTGTTTATGCATGGGCTGCAGTGCGGTCTCTGGAGGGGCAGAAACATACAAACATGCAAATTTAACAGAAGCTAAATTGGGTCACTCTACCTATCAGTTGCATAGAAGGTTCCCTCCAGGGAAGAGAGAGACGGCTGCTTTTTCTTATTCCATGGCCAAGAGATTATAAGCCTAGCCTGTTGCTCAATTTGGAATGGGGCAGCAGAAGAGGGGGAGACATAATTTTTTCAGATAGGGCCAGCTAATCTTTTTGGCCTGAGGATGGTCAGATACCTCTTTGAGGGTCACAGGCCACTGGTGGGCATGGCCAATGTATGTGCACACAACACACAGAGATCACACACACAAATACTGCGCATGCATTGCACAGAAGCACACCTATGGAGCATGCAGGCTCACCAGGCATAAGGCACAAAACTCAGACATGCAGTGTCACATAAATCTCCACTTTACACATGCACAGTCAAACACTTCCTCGTACAAAACACTACAATGAGGTCCAAGGCTGAGGGCCTTCTGGCGGTTCCCTCCCTGTGAGAAATGAGTTTCACAGGGAAGCAGGCAGAGGGCCCTCTCAGTAGTGGTGCCGGTCCTGTGGAATGCCCTCCCATCAGATGTCAAGGAAATAAAGAACTATCTGACTTTTAGAAGACATCTGAAAGCAGCTCTGTTTAGGGAAATTTTTACGGTTTGAATTTTTATTTTGTTCTTAGTGTTCTGTTGGGAGCTGCCTAGAGTGGCTGGGGAAACCTGGGGAGGGGTATAAATAAATAAATAAATAATACTACTACTACTACTCAGTGTGAAATCAGGATGCCAAAATGATGGATTTGCCCCTATTATACCCCAGGGATTACTGCACATTTTTCAGGACAAAACCTCCTGCTGGAACCATCTCTTCAGGAGGTCCGTTTTTGAACTGAGTCTTTATTCTGGCAGCAGCTGCCCTTTGGAACTCACTGCTGTTACGCATCAGTTAAGCACTGTCTCCATGCTCTTTTTGAAGACCTTGTTTTTTCAACTGGTGGAAATCTTTATCCCCCAGTCGGCAGTAGTATTGGATCTGGAATGGTTTTATATATTATAAAGTAGATTCAGCAGTTTCATAGGAAGCAGTTCATTAACTGAAATGGAATGAAACACGCTCTCTCAAAACAGCACACAGGACACCCTGAAGTGGACAGATGTTGCCTTTTAACCTTTAAGAGCAGGAGGAGGTTTAGCTATGATCTCAGCATTGTGATGCTTGGTCCACATGGCTGATCAAAGATGACTCTCTAAACTTTAGGACAGCCTTTCTCAGCCTGTGGGTCCCCAGATGTTGTTGAACTACAATTCCCATCACTCCTAGCTAGCAAGGCCAGAGCTCAGGGATGATGGGAGTTGTAGTCCAGCAACATCTGGGGACCCACAGGTTGAGAATTGCTACTTTAGGAGCATGTCAGGCCACACCTATTCTCTGCCTGCTCCCTCATTGCCAATTCCAGTTATGGAAGTTGGCGGCACTTGCAGATGGTGTGGCTCCTTCCCAAGTCCCTTTGCTGATCTTCTCTATTTTTGTGCCTGTTTTTCCCTGCCTCTGGGGGTGACAATGCAGAGCGATGAAGAAGACCATCAGAGACCACCTGGTGTTCACCCTGGAGAACCTGAGGGAGGATGATCTCAACAGGTTCAAGTTCAAGCTCAGTGAACTCCCCATTGCAGAGTGCTTTGACAACATACCCCAAGGGCCACTGGAGAAAGCGAATGCCATGGAACTGAGCCGACTCCTGCTGGGTTTCTACATGGAGGATTATGCTGTGCAGGTGACAGTTGATGTGCTCAATGCCATCAACTGCAGGGATGAGGCAGAGAGGCTCCTCAGCCTCACCAGGAAGAGGTAAGAAAGAAGGAGGGCCATCTCATGGAACTCGCTGGGAGGGAAGGCAAATAGAGGGCCAGTCGCCCCTGATGCCCCACCCACTGTAAGGTGGGGGTGATTGATTCTGGCCATCTCTTCATGGGGGTGAAAGGAGGAAAGCCTTATATCAAGGCCAGCCAATCTAGTGCCCTTCAGCTCTTCATTTATTTTACTTACTTAACAGAATTTGCATACCTTTTAGCTGTAAACACCTCTAAGCAGTTTGTATTTATATATACATATATACAGTGAGGGGGGAAAGTATTTGATCTCCTGCTAAATTTGCCTGTTTGCCCTCTGACGAAGAAATTACCAGTCCATAATTTTAATGGTAGGTTTATTGTAGCTGTGAGAGACAGAATAACAACAGGGAAACCCCCAGAAACCCAGAAGACAAAAGTCAGAGATTGATGTGCATTATAATGAGTGAAATAAGTATTTGATCCCATTGCAAAAGATGACTTAGTACTTGGTGGCAAAACCCTTGTTGGCAATTAGAGAGGTCAGACGTTTCTTGTAGGTGGCCACCAGGTTTGCACACATCTCAGGAGGTATTTTGTCCCACTCCTCTTTGCAGATCCTCTCCAAGTCAGCAAAATTTCAAGGCTGATGTGTAGCTACTTGAACCTTCAGCTCCCTCCACAGATTTTCGATGGGATTAAGGTCTGGAGACTGGCTAGGCCACTTGCTGTGAATCCTCCCTTTCTTCTCCTGGCAGTACCATATTTAAGTGTTACACTTCCAGGTACTGCATCATTAAATCTCAAAAGAAAGGCTTGGACAACAGCCCGGATTGGAGTGATTTTTTTAAAAAAAATTACCGTATTTTTCGCCCTATAGGACGCACTTTTTCCCCTCCAAAAATGAAGGGGAAATGTGTGTGCGTCCTATGGGGCGAATGCAGGCTTTCGCTGAAGCCTGGAGAGGGAGAGGGGTCAGTGCGCACCGACCCCTCTCCCTCTCCAGGCTTCAGGAAGCTATCCGCAAGCCGTGGGAGCCTGCAGGAGTTCCCCCGGGCTCCCACGGGTTGGGCAGAGCTGCCTGCACCCCGAAGCCCTGGCGCGCTGAGTAGTCGTGCCAGGGCTTCGGGTAGCTCTGCGCAAGCCGCGGGAGAGCTCCCCCGGCTTGCGCAGCGCTGCCTCTCATCCCGACGCCCCAGCGCACTGAGCAGTCGCGCCGGGGCTTCGGGTAGCTCTGCGCAAGCTGCGGGAGAGCTCCCCCGGCTTGCGCAGCGCTGCCTCTCATCCCGACGCCCCAGCGCACTGAGCAGTCGCGCCGGGGCTTCGGGTAGCTCTGCGCAAGCTGCGGGAGAGCTCCCCCGGCTTGCGCAGAGCTGCCTCTCATCCTGAAGCCCTGGCGCGCTGAGCAGTTGTGCCGGGGCTTCGGGTAGCTCTGTGCAAGCCGCGGGAGGGCTCCCACGGCTTGCGGAGAGCAGCCTGTTCTGGGGGCTGGGGTCGGGGGAAGCTCGGGCTTCTCCCGCCCCAGCCTCGCACCTTGGGGGGAAAATATTTTTTTTTCTTTATTTCCCCTCCAAAAAACTAGGTGCGCCTTATGGGCCGGTGCGCCCTATGGGGCTAAAAATACGGTATTTTTATTAGATACTTTTATTTTGCTTTAAACAAATACATATAAATATAGACAACCAAAATTACAAAAAAAAATTCCTTAATAATAATAATAATAATGAAAAAGCTAAAAAAACTACAAAAAAATCAAAGTACATGGCACAGAACATAAGCAACTATGGGAAAGAAAAAAGAAAAATAGGGGGCGGGAAGAAAAAGGAAGATGGGCCAAAACAGGAAAGCTCATCTATTGTACCCTTCCGTCAAGCTCACAATAGATCATTATTCTTATCAATTCTCTCTATCTGCATTCCAAAGGAATCCCTCATCTTGGTATCAGGGAGCATTTCTCTATGCGGTATCATTCTAAACATAACCAGGTCTTTCTTGTTGAGCCCTTGTCCCCTAAATAATTATTTAAACATTCCCATTCTTCTTTCACCAATTTTTTAGGTTTATCTTGTATTGCATCTGACAGCTTTGTGAGCTCCAAATACTCGCACAATTTGACTACCCATTCCTCTTTAGTGGGTGTATTTTTATCTTTCCAGTGTTTTGCCACTATAACCCTTGCTGCTGACGTTGCATACATAAATAGCCTGGTTTTATTTTTGGGAATATTATCTGAAACCATTCCTAGTAAAAATTCTTCCGGTTTCTTGCTAAATGTAGTTTTTAACAATCTCTTTATCGCTTCATAAATCATATTCCAAAATCTTTGTATCTCTAGACAGGACCACCACATATGGTAGTATGTTCCTATCTGTTCCTTACATCTCCAGCACTTGTTATTGTTTGATTTATTTATTTTTGCAAGTTTTACAGGGGTCAGGTACCACCTATAGTACATTTTTATAAGATTTTCCCTTATAAGGAAACAAGCCGTGAATTATATATTTTTAGTCCATAATTCATTCCAAATATTGGGTTTGATTGTATGTCCCAGGTCCCTCTCCCATTTTACTGTAATTTCTTTGATATCCTCCTCCGTTCTTAGCCAATTCAAAAGTAGTTTGTACATTTTTGCAAGTGTCTTTTGATTATTATATAAAATATCCTTCTCCAGATTGGAGTGATTGAACAACTTGGGAGTTGCTGCGTCGTTAAACTTCAAATGATAAACTTGGACAACAGCCTGGATTGGAAGATTGAAATGAAGTCAGGAAAAGCTGTGGTGGTAAATAGACAGTTGGAAAAAAATATTCAGAAATAAAGCTGTATTCGATGGATGAAAGGAAATATGATTTTTGACATGATTGAGAATCGCATAGCCTGGGCTGTAAAGTGTTAAGATCAGAATGTGGAAATTAGGAAAAGAACAAGAAGAGACAGGAACGAAGATTTTGAGATATTCTTCAGAAGTCCAGACTATGGGGAGCCCAGAAAAATTAATAATTAACAATTTGGACTGCAAATTGGTCTTTTTTATTTTAGTTTATTGTTTTTAATTGGATAATGATGTGGATATGTTGATTGGCTGATTTTATTGGAAAATCAATAAAAATGATTTTTAAAAAAGTGTTACGCTTCCATATAAACTTATTAATTCTCTCCCTCTCTCTCCTAGGAACTAGCCATTCTTTGTTAAAACCTCTGCGTTTTATCAGCCCTCCTCAGGGAACAATGGTGATCCCTTTCCTGCTTTATCTGATCCTTTATCTGCTTTATCTGAAGAAGTGTGCATGCACACAAAAGCTCATACCAAGAACTAACTTAGTTGGTCTTTAAGGTGCTACTGGAAGGAATTTTTTATTTTGACTATGGCAGACCAACACGGCTACCTATCTGTAACTGATCCTGACAATCTCCAAAAATATCTGGAAGCCAAATTGTTTTGTCTCAGCCCAACCATGGCTGCCACCCAGAATCCTCTACAACACTTCAGAACCACAAACATTTGCCAGTTTTATAATGCATTGGCTTTGTGATAGGAATTTTATGGTTTTAGATATATGGCAACGTTCATAACCACACGTACATAGATCAGCACAGGAAAGCCAACCTGGAACCATTTTGATTCCTAAACTGAGCAAATGTTTCTCTGCATGGTAAAAATGGAAAAGCCTCCCCATTGTCTCTTCCTTCACAAATCCTGTCCTAATCTGTGTTTGAATAAGGTGTGAGCCTGTGACCTGGCCTAGGAAATAAGTATTTTACCACTACAAAAGAATGGCCAGGCTCCCCAGGAAATCCAATCAAGTAACCTGCTAGACAGGAGATAAACAACAACAGGAGAAAAACAACATTAAAATTTCTGTGATGTAGGTGGGATGTATCTGAGGGGTGGTCTTACGTTACACCCCTTCTGTGATGTATGCATAATGTTTCTGGGGGTGGTCTTGATCTAGAGGATGGGAATTTCAAAAGTCTTTATAAGCCATTGCACAGCATTTTTGTGGGTGCTCTTCCTCTCCTGCATGTGAGGGGAGCACCCTGTTGCAACAGATCAATAAAGATCAAGCTTACTAGCTGCTTTGCTTCTCAATATTCTCTGGTTGGCCTCTGTTATTTTCTCCTACCAATAGGGAACCTATGTAAGGACTCTATATGGGCTCTTGGATACCCCATAAGGGAAAAAGGGCATATTTTTATTTACAACAGCTTCCCCCAGAGAATCCTGGGAATTGTAGTCTAGTTAGCTGCTAACAATTATCTCCCTAAAAAAACCCAAACTTCCAATGAAACTACAGTTTCCAGCTGTCCAGGAAAATGCATACTGATAGAAGAGTTTCAGCTTTGGCTGGCCTCTTGCCCTCCAGATGTTCCAAACTACAACTCCCATCAGCCCCAGCCAACGTGTTGCATCAGTGCCACATTTCATCAAGGGACACTGGAAGCAGCTGGTCCAATGGACTGCATTGATGGGAGTGGTGTTTACTATCAGGAAATGCAGATGCAAGCATTGTACAATCAGTTTGGGATCTGGTCCTGATTAGGCGCAACCGAGACCCAATATGAACCAATCAGGACCCTGGATCTGAATCACAACCTAGATATTTGAATCATCAGTATTCTCATTCACTCAGAATGAGAGAAACAAAATGGCCATAACTTACTTGTTTTTTCCCATAGGTGCATGTAATTTGGACACATGGTAGTCCCTCCAGAGGGAATGAACTGCCAAATTTCAGAAAGTTAGCTCAAGGGTTTGTTTTTTGTTTGTTTTGTTAAGCAAATTTAAAATTTGCTGTTTTTCCAAAGAAAAATCAGCCCTGCAAATTATCACACTCGTTTTGGACCTGATCCTGTTTGGCTATGTGCTGGTGCTAAGCTGTACAGTTTAAAGACTCACTCTGTGTGTTAAGTATGTGTTATACCTAAAGGAGCATCTTCACTCCCATTGCTCAGCCTGGACACTGAGGTCCAGCTCTGAGGGCCTTCTGGTAGTTCCCTCCGCACGAGAAGTGAGGTTGCAGGGAACCAAGCAGAGGGCCTTCTCGGTAGTGGTGCCCATCCTGTGGAATGCCTTTCCGTCAGATGTCAAGGAAATAAACAACTACAGTGGTATCTCAGGTTACATACGCTTCAGGTTACAGACTCCGCTAACCCAGAAATAGTGCTTCAGGTTAAGAACTTTGCTTCAGGATGAGAACAGAAATTGTACTCTGGTGGCGCGGCAGCAGTGGGAGGCTCCATTAGCTAAAGTGATGCTTCAGGTTAAGAACAGTTTCAGGTTAAGAACGGACCTCCGGAACGAATTAAGTACTTAACCCGAGGTATCACTGTATCTGACTTTTAGAAGATATCTGAAGGCAGCCCTGTTTAGGGAGGTTTTTAATGTTTGATGTTTTATTGTGCTTTTAATTCTTTTGGGAAACCCAGCCAGATGGGCAGGATATAAATATATTATTATTATTATTATTATTATTATTATTATTATTATTATTATATAAGTACTTCCTAAAAATGACTCAGTAAGACAAAGAGAAAGGCAGTGTGTAATGTGTGTGTGTGTGTGTACGAGAGAGAGAAGAACTGGCAGTCCTGGTATAGCATTCTTCTAGAGGACTTTTGCAGTAGATTTCCAGGCCTGCCTCTTCCACACTAAAATTCTCTTGTATATGGTAAGCAAAGCCCCTCATTCAAGAAAGCCATGGATGCAGCACAATGTATGGTTATGAGTTTGCTGAGGGAGGCGGTCAGACTCCCCTAAATCCCTGGATTCCGAAAAGGGTTAGTATTTAAGCAACCCCCTAAATCCCTGGATCTAGCAAGTGTTGGAAATAACACAAGACAGCTTACTCATGAGGCAGCCTGATAATGGTCAAGTCATAAGCAAACAAAGGCAGGGTGATGACAATCAAGAAAGCCACCAACCAGGCAAATAATCTTCTGGATGCAGCTCACCCTGAGCCAAAGGGAGTTAGATGAACAAAGGCCAATAGGTTTGCCTGATGTGGACAGGAGGGGAAATCCTTCGGGTCTATTAGTGGTGACTAGCAAGAAGGTGGAGGCAAAGAATCATGTGGGCTGAAAGGCTATAAACGGAGAGCAGATTTCTGTTTTGGATTCAAAGCTGCTGCACCTATGGGAGAAGCAAGGGACCCTCTTGGAATGTAATGCTTCGAACAGTAGGCTCAGGCTGTATATGGTATATGTGTAAATAAACCAAATATAATAAAGACACCACAGTCTCCTCTGTGCCTCATGGTTTGAGCCCCGCTTTGGGTGAAAGCTTCCTGCATTGTAGGGAGTTGGACTAGAGGAACATCGTGGTCCCTTCCAACTCTACAAGTCTATGATTCTCTGACTCCTACATGGAAAAGTCTAAAAGTGTCCTTGGAATGCTGAGATGTCATTTGATAAAACACTCAGAGAGAGCAGGTGGTACATTAATTGTCGTTTAATAAAGTGAGTGAACTTTGAACAGCAGGGGAAAATAGATTAGTATTGTAGGATGATTATTGTAATGGGGGGAGAGGGAAAGTAGGAAAGCAGGGTGTGAAATGGAGTAGGAAAACAGAGGGGGAAGGAAGAAAGCAGGAAAGCAAGGGGACGAAATGGAGAAGGAAAATGGTGGGTGAGGAGGGAAAGCTTTCCTGCATTCTTGAAGAAACTGTCCCAGGGAGTAGGAGGCGACAGCGCCACAAGCAAGGGGGCAGGGAGTGGGCACAGCACCCAGATGCAAATATGCCACCCTTTCCAGAGTGGTGCTTGAGGCACCTCCCTCAGACAGACTGAGGATAACGCCGGTCCAGAGAACTCACTCAAAATGCTGAACATTTCAAAAAGGCAAGTTAAAAATCGGTAAGTATGATCCAGGAAAGGTGAGGGGGAGAGCTTGTTGCTGGTTCCTGGAATGTGTAGAAGTGACAAAGCAGGTTCAAATCAGGCCTGGCAATATATAGGTGTGGTGTTTGCCCTCCTAAGTGTGTGACATCATACTGGGTTCATAGGGAAAGGGTTAACTAATTGTAAAATGACTAACCAATGGGAACCCAGGGGGCAGAGTTAACTGTATAAGGTTTAAGCACAGAGGGGTTTTTTTAGGAGTTAGAGTTGTTGAGAAGACGGTCTGGAGTTAGAAGAGACAGAGAAGATACGTCTGTGGGTTGGGCTAGCCTGGTGTGAGAGAGTGAGAGAATTTGTTAAGAGAAGTCAGTCAAACAGTTGAGATAATCAGTCAGAAGGTATTAGGAAGGTATAGGCGGGTAAAGAAACTAAAGTTAATACTGACAGGAATATTATCTGAGAAACCATAAACTTGTTAATGTTTGTAAAATAAACTTGTTTTGGTTTTTTTCTGTTCACTTTTAATAACTGACTGGACTCAGTGTTTTACCAGAGTGTAACTGGTTGGTGGCAGCGGGGAAGCGAGCACAGTGGTGGCACAGGGATCATTAGACCGTTAAACGTCCAGGGACCCTGTGTGATTGCCACAAGAGGTCATGGTTAGTTTGATTCAGGGTTCTGCTTTCTTTGTCCTTACAACAGTCAAGTGAGAAAAGAGATAATGGTTAATTTAGAGGTTTACAAAAGGACATAAAATAACATTAGAAGCGTTTGCTGGATCAGGCCAATGGGCCCATATACTCCAGCATCCTGCTCTCACAGTGGCATGCAGGATTTGAGCACAAGGGCTCACAACTCCTCCCTCCTGCGGTTTCCTGCAACTGCTATTCAGAAGCATTGCTGCCTCCAACTGGAGACAGAGGGTGGCCATTGTGGCTAGCAGCCAACAACAGCCCCCGGTCCACTAATTTGTCTAACCCTCTTTTAAAGGCATCCAGGTTGGTAGCCAGCACTGCCTCTTGTGGGAGCAAGTTCCATCGTTTAACTCTGCATTGCATGGAGAAGTAATTTCATTTTTCAGTCCTGAATCTTCCAACACTCACCTTCATTGGATACTACCAGGTTCTCGTGATATGAGAGAGGGAGAAAAACATTACTCCAACCACTGTCTCCATGCCGTATGAACTTCAATCATGTCAGCTCTGACTCGCCCTTTCCCTGAACTAAAAGTCCCAAATGTTGCAACCTGTCTTCACAGCACAGTCACTCCACCCTCCTTGATCTTACATTATAGGAGGATGTGAAGCTGCTCTTTGAACCTCAGTTTCATGCCTACCAATCCAGATCATAAAGTTTGCTGATAGCATGTTATTGTAAACAGAGCCAGACCCATTGCAAGATTAAGCATTGAAGAACTGCATGTTATGGGCAGTGATCTCTTCTTTGTAGGGTGGCACTGTGGTCTAAACCAGTGTTTCCCAACCTTTTTTGGGCAAAGGCACACTTGTTTCATGAAAAAAATCTTGAGGCACACCACCATTACAGCCCCGTGACGTCAGCACGCAGCGTCACGCCGGGAGGGACGCACAAAAGTGTAAGATTCAATTTTTCCCCTCCCCCTTGCCTTCCTTCTGTGCCAACCGCCAAAAAGCCAAGAATCGCAGGACTGCCGGTGGAGGGGGGGGAGGGCGAGCGGAGGCAGCAGCGAGCCCCGTTCCTCCCCATCCGCCCCATTCCGTGCAAGGAGCGCGAACAGGTGTGAGAAGGGGGTCAAACCTGCGGGTCGGCACCGGGGAACCTCCAAGCTTTGGGGGTGGGGGGGGAGGAGGCAGCAAAGCGAGGCAGGAAGGAGAGCGCGGCTTGGCAAAGTACTTGGCGGCGAAGGCCAGCAGGTCCGGCGGCCGGTGCCGCAGCACCTCCACCGTGTAGCCCTGCAGCAGCTCAGTCAGACCCGGCGGGATCTCGATGCTCATCTTGTAGCCGAGGCGCGCGGGAGACTCAACGGACGGGCCCGGGAGAGAGAGAGAGAGAGACACGATGGAGAGAGAGCGGGAGTCCCTGCTCGCCGTCGCCACCGCTACAACTACTGTGGCGGTTGGTCGTGGTCGTCGCCGCCACCGCCGCCGCCCACCTCTATCTATCTCTCCCCCTCAGCTTTCTACGCAGGCCTCGAGCCGGAGGTGGGGGGTGGCCGCCGCCGCTTTCTCCGCCTCCACATCCTGCCTCCTCCTCCTCGAGCCCTCCGTCAGCCCTGAGGGAACCGCCGCGCTCGCGCCGCCGCTCTCTGACACAAGAGAAAGGAACGGAGCAGCGGGGTAGTCGGGGGAAGGAGGGGCCGGAATGGAAGCGCGAGGCGAGCTGCGCATGCCCAGCAGGAAGCGGCGGAGAGCGCCACAGAGAGAGAGAGAGAAGCAAGGGAGGGCGGGGAGTGGGCGGGAACACGCTTCATGCGTCACAATAACGGACAAGAGGCGCTCGAGGGATAGATTAGGACCTAATTTGACTTTTACAAAAAAAAAAAAATCTTTCAAATTTTCCCCACGGCACACCAGGCAACATCTCGCGGCACACTAGTGTGCCGCGGAACAGTGGTTGGGAAACACTGGTCTAAACCATTGAGTCTCTTGGGCTTGCGATCTGAGTGAGCTCCCATTGCCCTGTCCCAGCTTCTGCCAACCTAGCAGTTTGAAAGCACACCAGTGCAAGTAGATAAATAGGTCCCACTGTGATAGGAAGGTAAACAGCATTTCCGTGTGCTCTGGCTTCCATCAGTGTTCCATTGTGCCAGAAGCGGTTTAGTCATGCTGGCCACATGACCTGGAAAGCTGTCTGCAGACAAACACCAGCTCCCTTGGCCTGAAGCAATATGAGCGCCACAACCCCATAGTCACCTTTGAGTGAACTTAACCGCCCAAGGGTTAATTAACCTCTTATCTTTACCTGTAGGCAGGAAGGTGGAGAAAGAACTGACATGGATGAATCCATATATGACCTTTGGGTTTTGGGTTCCTACAGAGATCCATCTGGTCTCTGATGCAGCTTAACATTTGCATGAAACTGCTGGAAGAGTTTTGTCTGGAAATTTCTCATGGTTTCATGGAGCCAATTTCTGGGGTGAGGAGCTCCCTCATTTGGAGGTCTTCAGGCAGAGTCTTGACAGCCACCTGCTGAACATGCTGTAGGGCTAGATTTCCTGCATCAGGCCAGATGGCATACAAAACTCCCTCCAGCTGTGTAGGATGCTGTGGATACTCCTCTCTCCCCTCCTCACATCATTTCAGGGAGGATGCGAAGGTCCTGCATTCTTGGCTGTCAGCAGACAGGATGTGGGTGCAGAAATGGAATATGAATTACTGGCAAAAGTGGGTCAGTTACCTTTCATATGCAACATTTGGCTGGTGGATAGAGATTAGAGTTTACCTGTTGCAATCATACACAAAGAGATGGTTCTGGGTAAGAAAATAATTGTTTATTGTAACACCTGGGTCCTGCAGGCGCCCTTTCTGTGCTCCTCCTCGTTGAGCAGCTGTTTGGCTGCTTCACTCTCATCCAGCTCTCCCCCAAGCAACTTCAAGGATTGCTTTTTTTGAGGGGGAGGGTTGTGTGTTTTTGAAATTCCCAAAGGAGGAGCAGGTTCTTCTCTCACGCTCACACGTTTTCCTGCTCCAACTCCTTGCCGCTCCTCCCTGCTTCAGAACCTGCTGGGAAAGAGAGCGAGAGCTCCCGGGAAAGGCGCCTTTTGCGCTCGCCCCGCCCTCGAGTCTCCTGCCGCGGACGGAGGGAAGCATCTCAAAGGGTTTCCTCGCCAAAGGGAGCAGCAAGCGATTTCCCGCTGCCCTCGGGCCAGGCATCTCTCCTCCGGGGCATCAGGCGCCGCGAGTTGGGCACCAGAGTCTGGCTCTCCTGCCTCTCTGCCTTGGCACAGTCTCCGGATCTGGGTCTTTCGCTGGCCGAGGATTTGGCTGGGCTGGGGCTGGCGGGGAAGGAGCGCGATGGCCAAGAAGACTCCCAGGGGACGCTTCGCGGAAGCCCAGGTAGAGGGGTAGTTCCGAAGGCTGGAGATGGGTAGCGAGGAGGACCACGACGGCAACCTGAGGACGCGGCTGCCTAGTTGTGGCTTTGGCCTCAAGCAGTGCTCCTTGGTATGGTCACAGCGGTGCTGGAAATAGACAAGAACGCCCCGTTTTCAGATGGGAGAAGGATTCTGGAATCCTCATTCATGCTTGTGGTTTTATTATAGGATCTTCCAGAAAGAATAAAAGCAGAGGTGTTTTGGGACTCAGAAAGGGACCATGAAGCTTACAGGTAAGTGATCTCTCTTCCCAATTTCTTGAAAATTTCTCCCTTCAGGGAATGGTTTCTACATTGAATTGTTCCTCGGAACGCATCTGGTTTCTGTGGGTCTCACAGTCATCAAATATGGTTGCTGTCTCCACCCATGTTCCTCTAAATATGATGAAGGAAATGCAATTTAAAACTTTTGTACTGTAGCGCATATAAGACCCGCTGGTGGGCTTGACCACTGATCAGTTATAACATGCATTTTGTGTGTTTATTTGGAAAATAATCACTACAACTTTAACTCCATGTTACATTGGTAAGCATCGTTGCAGAACGGATGAAACATGTACAAATGGTTTTTCAGAACTGGATGAGGAGGTGGACCTAGGCCCAGGATTAAAAACCTATGAGGAGGACCAGAGTGAAGCCTGTCATGTCAGTTCAATCTGCCCCAGGGATGGGGCCAGTGTCGCAGCCTGCCTGCCATTGACCAAATAGGCAGTCAAGCTGCGATCCACTTCCTGGGCCTGGGTGAAGCTAAAGTGGATTCACCCAAACCCAGGAAAACCCCTCACCTCCAGCACAACCGTCAGATCAAGGGGAGGCATTGCCAGTGTCTCACAACAGTGCCCAGGTTGCGGTAAGCGTCATTACACAACATATGTTTTTTTCAAAATTTTCTTCTTTTTTCTTCTTTATGCTTTCACCGCCCCCTTATTTTTATTCAATGCCCCCCAATTGCACCTGAAGCTCCCACTGCCCCCCTCAATCATTCCAGCACCCTGCAGGGGGTGGGATCACCCACTATGAGAAATACTGGTTTAGAGCAAAATGGGTTCGTGGCTTGTAGAACCCCTGGCCTGCTCAATGAATATGATAATTCCCCCTGAAGTTCTAGTATCATCAACACAACAGGAATCAGAAGATTAGTAGTTAATCCTACCACTTGGCTTTACTCTGCATGAATGCAGGCATTTTAAAGTCACCTTCTCAGTATCAGAAGAATACTTTTTGGGCAGCTTCATAATAAACGTGCTTCTCTGTGGCAAAATCCTGAGTGTGCAGAGTGGTGCCTGCCCAGGAAATTTCCTTCCATAATTTTTTTACCTCCTTACTCAGCGTGTGAAGCACCTCCTGCAAAAATATCAATTAGACCAGCAGAGGAAGTTCTCCCAATTCATGTTCAACCTGATTCCCCTTTCATCTTTCCCTTTGTGCCATTCAGAGTGCGCTTCACAAAGGCTGGCTCCTTCCATTGCTGTGATACTGGTCTCATATGGGAAGTGAGAGGAGCTGTGACCATAACATACCACTTTGATTCATGGCCTAAGCACCTGGAAGAACAAAACACCAAGGAGTGGCAGATCGCTGGCCCCCTGCTCAACATTAAAGTGGATGCAGTAGAAGCCATGGCAGCCATTTGCGTCCCTCACGCCTTGTCTCTTTCAGGTATTACATGGGAAAAAACCTTACAGCATTATAACCATAATAGGAAGAAGCTTAAACAGGAATATCTTCCATTGACATTTCCAGAATGTTTGGGGGCCAGTGGTGTGGGTTCTAGGGATCAGTAGTGCTGGCTAAATTGTCTTTTCTGATTTGTTTCAATTTTGCAAAATGTTCTGCTATTTTACTGTTTTTGTGATGCTTTTTATTTTGTTGTAAGACATGTTGGAGCTGTCATCTAAACCACAGAGCCTAGGGCTTGCCGATCAGAAGGTCGGCGGTTCGAATCCCTGCGACGGGGTGAGCTCCCATTGCTCGGTCCCTGCTCCTGCCAACCTAGCAGTTCAAAAGCCCATCAAAGTGCAAGTAGATAAATAGGTACCGTTCTGGCGGGAAGGTAAATGGCGTTTCCGTGTGCTGCTCTGGTTCGTCAGAAGCGGCTTAGTCATGCTGGCCACATGACCTGGAAGCTGTATGCTGGCTCCCTCGGCCAGTAAAGTGAGATGAGCACGCAACCCCAGAGTCGTCCACAACTGGACCTAACGGTCAGGGGTCCCTTTACCTTTACCATGAGAACACACAGTACTGTGAAACAATGCTATAGACCTCTTAAATGATGATGAGAAAATAAATACTTGCATGATACAGAGAGGGTGAGGGTTAAGTGATGGTGATTTTTTTTTTCACTTTCCCACTTGTAACATGTTTGTCTATGTTTCCTTTGGGCTCCTTTTCAGGTAAAGATAGTTCCCATGTCTACATTGCACATTTTGTCGAAGGGGGGATGAGGCTGGAGAAACCAGACAGAGTGGAGCCTCACCATGCTGTGTTGGAGAACCCCAAGTTCTCTTCCCTTGGAGTCCTTTTCAAAAAGCGGTTTAAGCTGAATATCAACACTGTTGTACTGCTCTATCAGAGCCTTCGACTGGAAACACCAATGTTTCACCTGTACCTCCTGCCAAATGACCCTTCGATAATAAAGGTAACCAGGAATCTCCATCTCTGGTATTCCCGATTGCCTGGATCATTTACTTGATCATATTAACCCCGACTATGCACAATTGTTGGACTTGATCAGTTCTACCCAACATGCCAGTAGAGAGAAAATTAACAAGTTGCCCTCTGCTGGGTTACTTATCTTCTCACCAACACTGTTGCCTTAAAGTGATTTTTCCAAAATTGAAATACACCCTTTTCACTTCTTAAACAACCTGCTTGCTAAAGCCCAAATTCCCTGTCTGGTTCTCCAAACAACGGTGTTGTCACTGAATTGTGAAACAATTCAGTCCTTAGCCTCCCTTGTGAGTCCCAATGGATTTCTTCCGGAAACATTCACTGAAATCAGGCTTCCTCCAGGGTAAACGTATTTAGTGATGAGGAAATTCTGCTTAATTCATAAAAGCTATCTAAATGAACTTTTGAGGAAGAACATCCTTCTTCCTTTGCAGTGTTGGCACATGGGTTTCATGGCTTCTGTGGTTTCCTGCATGGACTCATCAAGATGCAGGTGGACCCAGGATTGCTGATACCTCTCGGCCACCAGGATGTCCAGTCCAAGAGCCCTGGCTTGAGTTCCCCATGAGGCCAGGGAATCTCCTCCTTACATTTTAGTTTCTGGTGCCATGTGCTTTAATTTTCTTCATATTGCAGATGGAGAATCTGTGTCTCTGCAGATGTTACTGGACTACAAAACCCATCAGCCCTGACTCTTGCTGACTGGAGGGCATCAGGTTCCCCATTCCTGCCTTAGCTGGTGTAACAATGCCAAGAAAGTTGTAGGGATCTAGTCTTGGCTTCCTCTCCGTGTATCTCAAATGTGACTTTATTTGTCTTTCCCAGGCAGTCAATGACAGTGAAGAAAATTCAAAGAGAATAGAGAAACCCCCTGTGACTCTGAGACCTCTGACAATTGGCTCTCAGGTCTCTTTGAAGGCTTCAAAGAATGTCGCAGCCTGTCCTGAGGTGAGACAAATATGATGAAAGGTTTTGCAGAGCCCAGATGGTGAAGCCTGAGAATGGGAGAAATTCAACCAGGATCCCTCTTCACCCTTTAAGTTGACTCCCTTACAATGTCGGGTTGGGCTAAGCCAGATTCACACCTACGAAGGTTTCATTCTTTCCCACAGGAACTGGAGTTTCAATACCTGGATGCCGAGAAACTGCAGCAGTACGTAGAACTGTCTGCTGAGCAAATGCAAGACGAGTTCTTCTTCTGCCTGATGAAGAAGGGCACACCTGAAATTGTCTGGAAGGCGCATTTGAAAAAAAGTGAGTTTTAATCAAGGGATGATCATGAGGTTGGGTCATATCTTAGGAGGCAGGACAGAAAAAGACCACCAGTCACGTTCCCTCTTTGACTGCCTCTTATTCTATTTCAGGAGAGTTCATTTCAGAGGAGATGGATTCTCCTATTCCACACCCAGCACAAGGTGAGCAGGTTTTAATTATTTCTCTCCATGTATTTGTATCCCACTTTCCTCCCAATGGGAGCACAGAGGGCTGATGAAACAGTAGCAGAACTGGTTTTGCTGACCTTGAACTCCTCACTCTAAGTTTTACAGTGTGAGCTTATCTGTTTTAAACTGAGTGTCAGTTCTTTTAAATATTAACTGTTAACTTGCTTTTATTGTCATTTGTTATGAAGTGATACTGCAAGCATAATACATAAATCTGTGAGACAATGTTCCATAGGCTCATCTTCTTCCAAGGACAGAGACCTTGTGGGCAAAGTTTTCATGGCTTTTGGATAGTGAGCGAAATGGTCTCTTCTCTCCCTGTGGGAGAAAGCTGGGTTCAGTAATTATAACGACAATAACAGAAGCATAGAATTTGGAGGGATTCCAAGTCTCATCTAGTCCAACCCACTACAATGTAGGAGCTATCAATTCCTGGGCTTTAAAGCAATAAAATATAAAGCTGAGTATAATACTATGTGAAATTAATTATCTGACAATGTGCTGTTGTTTCATGATACCCCAAATTATGATGCCACCTCACTCTCCCTAATGGTAGGGCTGGCCCCATCCCTGGCTCCCTTGCAACTGCTCTCACTTACTGTATTTCAGTTTTATACTTCCTCAACAGTTATGGCTTTGCCCAAAGAATTCTGGGAACTGTAGGCAGATGAGCTACTAGTAATGCTCTGTTCACAATCCCTCCCCTCATGGAACTACAATTCCCAGGGCATGGGGGAGGAGGGAATGAGTTGGGCAACAGTCTTAAGCCTGCAGTGTGAACCTGTAGCAAGATTTCCGTTCTTTTTCTCTTTCCTGGCAGGGCCGCAGTTTCCAAACTCTTCCAACGTGCACTTCATTGAGCGGCACAGGGAGGCGCTAATCCAACGGACCACCCCAGCGGAACCGGTGCTGGATAGATTGTATGGCTCCGTCCTCAGTGAGGAGCAATACCAAAGAATCATTGCCCAGAAAACTAACCCAGAGAAGATGCGAGAGCTCTACAGGCTTGTGCCAAGCTGGGACCTCCGGTGCAAGGATATGCTGTATGAGGCTCTGAAGGCCAAAAACCCACATCTCATGAAAGACTTGGAAGGGCAATGAGGCACCAAGGGAAGGCAGAAGGCAAGACCCCTTTCAAGGCATTTTATTTATAAAATAAAGTGCATATTAAAACACTTGTTAGCTTTAGCTCTCTGAGCAGGCCTGTCTCAACAAATAAGTTGTTTCACATTCTGAGGATATTTTTCCAGAGGCCAGAGAGATCCTGGTAGTGGGGGCTTCAATGACTCGCAACATGGACATCTGGGTGTGAGCTGGGCACATAGACTGCTGGGTGAATTGCTTTCCTGGCTTCCTCACATTCAGAGTGTGCTCCACAGAGGCTGACTCCTTACTTTGTGGTGATACTGATCTCCAATGTGAGATGAGAGGATCTGTGATCATAACATACCACTTTGATTCATGGTCTAAGCCAGTGTTTTTCAACCTTTTTTGGGCAAAGGCACACTTGTTTCATGAAAAAAATCACGAGGCACACCACCACTGTGTGCGGAGAGGGAGATGTCACAGCCCCACTGCTCTCTATGGGGAATCGGATGAGAGCGGACCGCCTGTCCGCTCTCATCCGATCCCATCCGATCTGATCCCCACCCAGGATGGATGGAAAATAGGGTGGACACAGTCCGAGGCCCGCCTAGTGGGCGAAAATTTGACTTTTTTTTTTAAAAAAAAACTTTCGAATTTTTCAATTTTTCCCACGGCACACCAGGCAACATCTCGCGGCACACTAGTGTGCCGCGGAACAGTGGTTGAAAAACACTGGTCTAAGCACCTACACCAGGCATTGGCAAACTTGGCCCTGCAGATGTTTTGGCACTACAACTCTCATCATCCCTAGCCAACAGGACCAGTGGTCAGAGATGGTGGGAATTGTAGCCCCAAAACATCTGGAGGGCCAAGTTTGCCTATGCCTGCTCTACATGAATGGAAGACAATTCCTTGTTGCTGGTCCAAGGAGTTCCATACACTTTCCTCACTTCTTGTGTCTCTCATCTCCCAGTGGTTTTCAACCTTTTTGAGTCCACAGCTTCCTTGTCCAGCCACTCATCCTTTCTGCAGCTCCCCTATGGGAGCCACTGACGCTGGGGTTCTGCTACAAGGCACGTGTACTGGGGAATCTCTCCATTCCATCCCACCCCTATTTTTGGCACACATGTAAGTGGGAGTGCGTGTGTCGATGGGAAGCCAAGAAACGCCACTGCTCTGCAGGGCTGAGCTGATGCACTCCACATGGCAGCCCAGCTTCCCTTTGGTTGGGTGGGGGGCATGGAGAGGGCAAAACAAGATTAGGATCAGAAGCAGAATTTTTTTTGTTACCATGCGGAAGGAAAGCAAGAAACACACAGCACTGGACACACATGCAGACACGATCCTTTCCTGCAACATTCTCCCTGTCCCCATAAAGCTGGCTGACTGTTAAAGAGGAGAGGGTTGCCTGGGGGGAGAGGTAGAGATGAAGGGGAGGGGGAATGTTGAGGGTAGAAGGAGTGAGAAACACAAAAGACACTGCTCACTTTCAGGGTTACAGTGGTACCTCGGATTACAGGTGTTTCAGGTTACACACTCCGCTAACCCAGAAATATTATCTTGGGTTAAGAACTTTGCTTCAGGATGAGAACAGAAATCATGCAGCGGCGGTGCAGCAGTAGCAGGAGGCCCCATTAACTAAAGTGGTGCTTCAGGTTAAGAACAGTTTCAGGATAAGAACAGACCTCCAGGATGAATTAAGTTCTTAACCTGAGGTACCACTGTATTTTTAAAACCCTTCTTTATAGGGTGGACACCCACACACCACCATCATCAAGCTACTTTGCTACCTTATTGTATTTCTCAAGCCCTCTATGTAGAACTAAGGAACTGTTAGTTACTGAAGCTGTGGAGGGTTTTTGTTTGGAGGAGGGAGATTTTCAGAATATAAACAGTCATGCAAAAGTGTTTCCCTCTTTTTTTGTCACTGTTTTATTTTTGGAAGATAATGTGTTGCAAGTTAAAGCTGCCAGCTCCCCTGAATGTTCCTCAGAATGAGAGAGAGAGAGAGAGAGAGAGAGAGAGAGAGAGAGAGAGAGAATGCAGGAAGATCAGGGTTGCAAGTTAATGAAAGAAAGGCTCCCCTGAATGTTTCTCAATGTGCCCTGGCACACTAGTTGGAAAACAATGTTATAACCATAACAGCAGGAATTTTAAGTTGAATTAAATATAATGTGGTGGAACACAGAAAGAGAGATAGGGGTGCTTGGTTTCTAACCCAGGCTTGTATGTCCCCCTTTGCAGCATGTCTGTCCCTCTGAAATCACCCTGACTGATTATAGCATGGTGATTCCTCAGCATCAATAGATCTTGAGTACAAACCTCCAAAGTGTTTCTGCAAACATCTTCCCAGGGCACAAGGACTCAATATTTCTATGATTCACACCTGCCCTACATTGTACTTTGAACTTTAGTTTTATGCCTACCAACCCAGCTAATAAAGTTTCCTGGTAGCATGAGGATTTCAGGCAGGTTACTGTAAACAAAGGCTGGGCCAGTGATCTCTTCCTTGTAGGCAGCAAGGTGGAAAAAGATCAGGCATGGATGAATCCGTATATGAGCATTGGGCTTGTGGGCTCCTTCAGAGATCCATCTGGTCTCTGATGCAGCTTAGCATTTGCATGAAACTGCTGGAAGGGTTTTATTTGGAAATTTCTCATATGGATTCATGGAGCCAATTCCTGGGTGGGGAGCTCCCTCACTGAAGGTCATAGGAGCCAACTCCTAGTGGCCAAGGACCCTTTGCCCCCTCATAAAACATGTGACCCCCCCAAGTTGATAGTCATTGACATTCAAAGGTTTGTGTGTACCACATATTGTGATATATTCTTCTTGTTCTCTTCTATATGTTAAATCTGCAACCTGTTCATATTTTTTCAAGTTGGCACCCCTGCTGGGAGTCTTCAGGCAGACTCTTGACAGCCACCTGTTGAAAATGCTGTAGGGCTGGATTTTCTGCATCAGGCCAGATGACCTAGAAAATTTCCTCCAGCCCTAGAAGATGCTGATGATACTCCTCTCTCCCCTCCTCACATTATTTCAGGGAGAAGGTGGAGTCCTGCATTCAGGTCTGAGACTTGTCTGCAGACAAGTTGTGGGTGCAGAATCTGGATATTAATTACTGGGATAAGTGGGCCGGTTACCTGTTGCAACCCTTTTGTATGCAAAATCTGCAGCATTGGGTGGGTGAATCTGGTTAGAATCATAGAATCTTGGAGTTTAAGGGGCCCCAAGGGTAATCTAGTCCAACCCCCTGCAATGCAGGAATCTCAGCTGAAGTATCTCCTGACTAGAGATATTAGTTTAGTCACAGGAAACTGAGGTGATGCTCTAGAAACCGGCTAAACGGCAAGAAACTGCAGGAAGGAAGCAGCTGCAGAGAACAACTCATGGTTTCAGTTGTCTCTCCATAATGCACAGAGCATGGGAAACAAACAAGATGAACTGGAGCTTTTTATCCATTATGGCAAATACGACCTGGTAGGCATTACTGAAACCAGGTGAGATGAGACTTATGACTGGACTGTGGGGATTGACCAATCAGGAAGGGAGGAGGAGTAGCATTATATATGAAGGATGTGTACATTTGTGAAAAAATCCATGACTTGGAGCATGAAAAGCAGATTGAGGGTTATGGGTAAAAATTGTAGGAGGAAGAAACAGCAGTGACCTTACCAGACTGAAGACTTGGATGATGTCTTACGAGAGCAGATAACCAAACATCCAAAAGGGAGAGAATTAGTAATCATGGTGACTTGAACTTCTGCTTGTTTCTTTCACACAGAGAAGCTTCAAGAACCCTCTTGAATTAAGTAGAATAGGAAAGATCTCTACACATCATATCAATACACTCTGCACTAAGAAATGCAGACTGATAGTGTGTGCATCGCCTCATGTGATCGATAATGCAGGGCTGGGCTTGCCCGCCCCCACCCCCCCCAAAAAAATTGTTTTTCAAGTTGGCACTCCTGACCCCCACCCACCAGGTTTAATATCTTGGCTGCCAAGCTGCAAGTAAATGAAAGTTTCTGTGGCAGGATTATGCCTCATGCAGTTAAAAATAAAAGCACTCACTGCCTAAGTTGGTTCTATTCCAGTGCGCTCGATTGCCACGCTGTGTGTCTCTGTGTGTGTTTGTGTGGAAAATGTTCCGGTGGGCTCTTTGGTTTTTCTGTGCCAGTCTCCTCAGCTGCAGCCCTTACAAGGTGGGGCATGACTTGGCTGACATGCGGGGTGGGTATTCTGCATTTCTTGGAGGGGAGCGCTGTGTCCTCCTCAAAAGAAACTAGCATCCGAGAGCGCAGCACAAGTGCCAGAAGGCACGCATTTCAAGCCCACGCCCCGGAAGAATCCTGGGAACCACAGTTCACCTCTGAGAGATCCACAAGTCCCAGCACCCTGAACAAAATCACAGGTTCCTTTTCTTTGGGCGGGGTGCGTTAGATTTCCAAAGGACGAGCAGGTTTTTCTCGCGCGCTCCCACATTTTCCTGCTCTGCCTCCTCGCCGCTCCTCCCGGCTTCAGACCCTGCGCAAAGGGAGACCAAGAGCGGATTCTCTCTCTCCCCCCCCCCCCCCGTCTTGCAGCCAAAGCGCCCCTGCAAATCTTGCGAGGGCTGCCTTCGGAGGTCTTCCCCCGAGAACCGCTCAGCCAAGTTCTTCCAACGCAGGGCTGGGCTGGAGTTCTGCTGGAAAGACGCCCCTTCCGCCCTCCCCGCCCTCCAGTCTCCTGCTGCTGCCGGAGGAAAAGATCTCCAAGAGTTTCCTCGCCAAAGGGAAAAGAAGGCGACGCGCAGGGCAAGAGACGGGGCTCTCGGAGCGGGTTTCCTGCTGCTCACCGGCCAGGCCTCTCTCTTTCCCGGCGAGTTGGCCCGGGGATCGCGCCCACCTGCCTCTCTGTCTCGGCACAGTCTCCAGATCTTCTGAGTTTTTCTCTGGCCGAGGCTTTGGCTGGGCTGTGGCTGGCGGAGAATGAGCGCAATGGGGACTAAGTTCTTCTTTTCCACAAATCTGTCGCGTGGCCTCATTTTCTTACATCCTGAGAACCCGAATCTGCAACCCGCCAGTTCCCTCCTTCTAGACATCTTTTTGGAGTTGAAGGAGAGGGAGGGAGAGTGGGAGAAATTCAAGCGCGAACTGCTCAGATTCCCGGTCAAGGAGGGCGTCAG